CACCTTTCAAGAGCTCTGATTGCAGATCGTGAGCAGACCAGAGCTGCTATCTCCTTCCTTATTCACAGAAGGAGATTGAAAAGACAGTGTGTATCTGCTCATAAGTAGAGTTGGTATCTCAGTACATGCAGCAGTACTTCCTTACTTTGCACCCTGCAAATGCCAGGCTGCCTCGATCCAGCCTCCTTATCTAACTGAGCCGAGTAATGTGCTCTACAGAGCAGCCACAGGTGCTGGCTCCTCTCCATCTTTTCTCAGTGACAAACAATGGAGATGCCAGAAATATGCTGGTGTTAAGTCAGGGCCTTCCAAGGCTTAGCTCTTTTCGGGCTTCTCTCTGCCTATTGCATGGTTCCCCAGCTGCTCTGCATGCAGCTCTGCTAATGCATATCAACCATGGGCAGTCCCGGCAGTTTATCCATCTGCTTCACCAGCAGCAGCTCTCACACCTGCAATACACCATTTGGAGCTCAGGTTGGAGGTGAGATGCAAGAGCTGGGGATATGTTCACCCAGCATAACTGAGCTGCCACATGCTGCTGTCATGGGCTGTCGGATGGCAATCTTGTAATAACCTTCACCACTGGTGGTCAGAGCTTGATTCCACGTGCCATTTACAGAGAGCCCTGAAGATAAAAAGGTCCGCAGTCAGCTAGTGCTCAAACATAAATGTCAAACCAAGGTTGTTGTAGCAGATTTCCTCACGAGACTGGTGCAAAAAGGAAGGAAGCTCTGTTAAGAGATCTTCCTGCCCACAGCAGCAGCACAGTAAGCAGTAGAGCAGCCTTGTGCTGGTGGAATATCTGGGGTGGGAGGGAACAGCCATTCAGCTCATTTGAGGTGCCTTTGGTCAGTATGTCTCCCCCAGCAGCTAAAGCTGACCAAAAAAGATCTGTTGCAATGTGCCACATCCTGTGTTCTTGCTTGTGTTTTTTAATATGTTTTATTTGTTCCAAAAGTTTTTAATACCTGTTGGTGATGATACTCATTGGCAGCCATCTGAACATGATCCAGCATGTGCCAAGTGGCCATGAAGGCCAACAGTATCCTGGCCCGTGTCAGTAAGTGTGGCCAGCAGGACTGGAAAGTGACTGTTTCTCTGTACTCAACATTGAGTACATGAGGCCACACCTCAAGTGCTGTGTCCAGTTTTGGGCCCTCCTCCTGCCACTGAGGTGCTGGAGCACATCTAGAGGATGTACAGCTGGTGAAGGGTCTATGGAACAAGTCTTAGGAGAAACAGCTGAGGAAGCTGGAGGCTCATGGGAGACCTTATTGAGCTCTGTAACTACCTGAGAGGAGGTTGTAGCAAGGTGTGGGGTCAGTCTTTTCTCCCAGGTAACAAGTGATAGAACAAGAGGAAATGGCCTCCAAATGTACAGGGAAAGTTTAGATTCTCTGATTCTATGCTGTTTACTGTGCATCGTCTTGCAGATAATATGGAGAGGGTACATAAATGGAGCACTGCAGTGTGGGGAACAGACTGGAAGTAGAGTCATCAGCAAAATGCTGATGCCCTCTGTAAAGCTGCATGGGCCTTGGGTGGATTGAACCTTCTGGTGACCAAGTACCTGCCTGCATTGCTTGCAGTGGTAGGACTTGAGAAATACTTCTGAGGAGGTGACGCTTTGGCTTTGCTTTCAGTTCAGCCAGGCTTTAGCTGCCCTGATGCTGCTCTCTGGAGGCCATTGCCTGCCTTCCTTCCTTCCTTCCTTCCTTCCTTCCTTCCTTCCTTCCTTCCTTCCTTCCTTCCTTCCTTCCTTCCTTCCTTCCTTCCTTCCTTCCTTCCTTCCTTCCTTCCTTCCTTCCTTCCTTCCTTCCTTCCTTCCTTCCTTCCTTCCTTCCTTCCTTCCTTCCTTCCTTCCTTCCTTCCTTCCTTCCTTCCTTCCTTCCTTCCTTCCTTCCTTCCTTCCTTCCTTCCTTCCTTCCTTCCTTCCTTCCTTCCTTCCTTCCTTCCTTCCTTCCTTCCCCTCCCTCATCCCTCCTTCCTCTACATTACTGAGTACAGTCATGGTGATAAGCCTATAGAAGCTGAAGAGCTGGCTTCCTTGTCTGCAAGGGTGGAGGAGACCAAACCAAGCCTTGTATTTTCCAACAATACAAACTCACCTTTGTATTCATCTGTTAAAAAGAGGTACAGCCCAATGTGCTGCTTGTGCTACAAGCACTATCAAAAACTCCATTTTGTCCAGAAGACAAAACCTGTGTCCTATCTTACACGCATTTCCCAAATAAACAGGGAAGAAGCTTCTGATAAATTCACCTGTTTTTGTGGGCCTTAGGTCATTGGAAGTTTGGGCCAGAGTGATGTCCTGAAGGTTCTCTGATATTACTGATCCATAAGAATGTAAAAGAGCATGGTTAGAGAGGAAGATAGAAGAAGGGGAGGAGATGTCAGTCTGTGTGGTGGGCAGCATGCCCATGCTCTTGTGGTGGGTAGAGATGCCTTTCACAGCATGGAAATCCTTGAGAGTGGTAGTGATAGTGGCTTTTGTGTGCTTGCAGGCTGCTATGATTGAGTCCCCTGCCTTGGGAGCAATTGAGAGAAGTTTGCTTCTACCAAACTATGGGTTTTGGTGGGTTTTTTAAAGCTGGCCTTGAATAAATCTTTTAGCAGCTGAAGAGAGGTGGCAGCTGGAGGGTGGGAAATGAACCACTGTCTCTGGAGGAGGGGAGCACTGGAGCTAGCCAGACTCAGCTCCTTCCACTCAGGTCTTTGTCTGCTGAGCCACTGACACTGAGTGTTGCAGCGCCTTCCACCCATGGCTTTCAACAGACTGCTGCAATGTCCAGGCAGCCTGTCAAGCTTTGAGAGCTGGGCAGGGAAAGCATGAGCTTTCCATAAAGTTCTTTCTCCCATGAGAAGGAAGTTCTGCTTAGGACAGAGGATGATCTTCCTAACTGTCCTCTGCCCTGCTCCAGCCTCTCCCAGTTTCCAGCTCTCCCAGACCTCTTCTACCAAATTTTCCTGCCCTGGTTTTACTGGCCTGGTCAATTTTCTTCTGTAGGACTCACAAGGGCTTAATTTCAATTTGCTACAAATTTGGTGGGACTGATACCTAACTAGAGTGGTTCCTGTGTGGAAACCAGGTGGATCAGCATCAGGAGAGTGGTAGGGGTAATGGAGGTGCCAGGGCTGATCGGCACCTCAGAGTGCACAGGGGTTCTGCTTAGCGGAGTGCAGGGAATGCAGAGGGTCCTGGCTAGGCAGTGACACCTCCCCTGCCATTGCAGCCCTCTGGGCTGAGCTGTGAGACTCGTGGAGCAGTAAAGCTGTGGGGAGCAACACTACCACACGCCTTGGGTAGCATTGCCATGTCTCCCACTCCCTGCTTCAGCCCTCTATCCCTTGCTTCCCACTGTCCCCTTGCCCTGAGAGCCACAGCGTGGCCTGGGACTCATAGAGGAGCCTACTTAATCCCTGGTCTCTGTGTTAACAGCCACCAACCATCCGGATGCAATGGAAACCTTTTTCAGGCGGCACTTTGGGCGGAAGGGGCTGCGGCGCAGCAGCGTGGTGGCTGTGCCCACGGGCAAGGCCAGGCGGCGCTCCCAGGTGGGGCTGCCCTCCGCCTCGCTGGCCCAGTGCCGCCGCGGCTCAGGCACCGCAGCGGCATCCCTCTCCTGCCTGGGGCTGGTCCGGCGTCCCGGCACGCGTCGCCGCTCCAGCACCACGCCGCCCTGCCTCAGCCCCAGGTTTGCCGTGCAGAAGAAGCGCGGAGGCCAGGCACAAGCCATTGATGCCCAGCTGCTGGGTCCCACTGTCCTCCTGGCCAGCCTCCTTCCCACGGGAGAGGAGGGGGACGGGGCTCACTGCACTGACAGCTCCACATCTGAGTCTCCAGAGGACGGTGGTGCAGCAGCAGGAGCTGAGGGGGGCCAGCACGAGCATAGCGCTGAGGAGACATGGCTGGCCATGCTGCCCCAGCCGCGGCCGCTGCAGTCAGGGCTGCTGTCGCGGGGCCCCCGCTGCCTGCGGCGCGCCTCCTCCCACCGCCTGCCCACTGAGGCCCTGCACGGCCGCGCTGCCTACGGCCTGCCAGGGCGCTACCGCCGCCTCAGCCAACGCCGGCGCTCCAGCGATGCCCCTCAGCCTGGGCCGCTCCCCTCTGGCCACCCCCGGCTGCTGGCCCAGCGCTGTGCAGGAGTGGCTGGAACCAAGTGCCCCTCTGCCACCCTCGTCAAGGGTTTGGGACCGGAGCCCACCTGCCACACCACCCCGGATGGCTGGAGCCCCCGGCTGCTGTATGTATAGTGGCAGCATTTAAGCAGGCAATGCCTTGGGGAGGGGACAGGGGGAGTGTAGACCCAGGTTTGGTGGGGAAGGAGGGAAGAGACTCAGCGCCATTGGCCGTGGCTGCCATTGGTGTCTTGCAGTGCTGCAGGTGTACCATAAGCATCTTCCACCTGGAGCTTGTGGGTTCCTCTCCTGCCAGGCTGGGACCAGAGGAATGTGGTAGGCCTGGTCACTGGCTGGAGATGCACACTTTCTCCTCTTGGCTGGATTTCCTGCTCCTTTCCTCCACCCTAGCACATCTGGGAGAAGCTCACTAGTCCCAAACAAACAGTTCCTTTTATTCTGGCCAGTTGTACTGGTCCATGGAAACATCCCAGGCTCTGAGAGATGCAGGGAGACTGTTGGACAGGTGTTCTAGATTGTCCCTGCAAAGGCAGTCCCACCACTGCAGCTCCATGGACACTCCCAGGGCGTTTTACAATGGAGCTCTTATCCCTGAGTGCATTAACCCAGCAGGCCCATGCTGTGCCTTTTGTTGGGTACAGGCTGTCTAGCTGAGCTGTCAGAAACGTGGCCAGTACTTCTTCATCCCACAGGACTATCTCACAGAAACAGGTACTTCTCAGCCACCTGGGATGGAAATTCACCTCATTTTCAGCCACTTGGTCCTGAGGAGCCTTTTTTGCTGCAGCCTCACGTGTCATCTTAGAAGCAGGTTGTGCTTTGCATATATATTTAATAGCCAGCCCTCCTTTGTCTTCCAGGAAAGCTATTGCCAAATCCAGTCTCCAACACATGGTAGCCCAGCCAAACCCAGCACTAGCCATGAGGAGCGACTCGGAGAGGCAGATACGCAGCACTGTGGATTGGAGCGTAAGTTGTACTGTGTTTTGCTGGGCATTGCACGGAATGGGCTCTTGGCCAAGAAGCAGCAGGCTCTTCCCAGGGTTGAGGCTTCCCAGGTGACTGACTTTGACACATTTATGGCCTCTCCCATTGCCACCAGCTGGTGCCAGCATCTGTGCTTCTGGCAGCACTACTTGATGCTGCAAAAGAGAGGCTGTGGAGGCACAGGTGGTTCCTGGAGGGATGGCATAACTACTCCTCTCCCAGCTTTTCTGCTTCTGACAGCCAAGATCTATTGGCTTGGGCCAAGCAACAGGAGTAAGCCCCTGCTCCTTAAAAGGCAATGCCCCACAGGTTTTAAGCTGCCCATTCAGATTGTAGAACAGAAGCTGGTTCAGGAGTGTCCCCTGCACTGAGTTTGCCCTGATGCCTCCTCTCGGGCTGATTAAAGCAGCTCCCCTGTGCAGGACACTGCAAGTGGTTTGCAGGTCTTGGAGTTGGTTTCCTGGGGGCCTCTTGTTTACAACAGGTGGGACATGGCAGCAGCTTTCTGAGGCTTCCTCTCTCCAGATGTCCCTGGCTGTTGTATGCATCTTGTCTCCTGGCCTCCACCTCCCAGCATTGTCCAGTATCTTGTCCCTTGCACAAAGTATTTTAGGGGCTCAGGTGCCTCTCTGGGGGTTCTCTCAGAGCTTGTGTTGTCTTGTGTGTTTCAGGAGGCTGCGGTCTATGGGGAGCACATCTGGTTTGAGACCAATGTCTCTGGGGACTTTTGCTACGTTGGGGAACAGAACTGCATGGCAAAGCTTCTGGTGAGTCACCTGGGGCCACAAACACGGCTGTGCTGTCACCTTGTGGGGAGACCGCAGAGGCTGCACTGCTGCTGCTGCTGCTGCTGCTGGGGGCCATGCAGGGGTCTGGGGAGCTGCCAAGGCAGGGACTGTGTCCCTTCTGCCTCTGCATACCGGAGGGCCCAGTCCCCAGTTTCTGCCAATGCTGGTTCTCATTTTGCAATGGGAACCTGATGCAGGGCTGCCTCTTGCCTGGAGGGTTCCAGAGAGGGTTCCTGGAGGGTTCCAAGACCTTTCAATAGAGGAGAAAAGTGAGCTCTGGAGACCCAGGCCTGTTGCCTCCTGCCCCTGCAGTCCTCCCTCCCAGTTTGTAGGCTCAGTCCTGCTCGTGGTACAGGATATGGAGCACTGATGCCAGCCTCTGCCTGCCATCCTGCAGGTGTCTGCCACTGATACCACCCTGCAGATACCTCCCAGACCAGCTTCCATGGTGCTCTCAGGCAGTGTCAGAAAAAGACAAGTACTGCAGGACAGGACAGGACAGGACAGTAGGGAAAGTACCTCCCTGCTCTGTACCAGGCTTGAAAACATCTGCTATAGGCACATGCTTAGACCCCTTCACTAGATAAGAAGTCTATGTTGTATCTAACTTTACAGTAGAGCTTGTACTGTATCCCAGTACATAAGAAGGAGGTATGATGGGAGGCTGAGCTTGCCAGACTCTGAACACTGCATATTTTCATTCACATGTATATTTTTTCTCCTCTTTTCTTACCCTTCAGCAAAAACCTCTCTCCAGGCGCAAGTGTGCAGCCTGCAAGATTGTAGTGCATACACCCTGCATCGAACAGCTGGAGAAAGTGAGTAGAGCCTGTTAAGCCCTCCCTACAGCTTGCAAAACTGTAGCAGCCTTTTCTTGGGCAGTGAAACACAAGAAGATTGAGGAACTGCAATGTATAATTGCAGAGAAGGGTCTTCTGAGGAGACAGTACCAAAATGAGGATCTAGTGATATGATTGGGAGCCCAGGCCCCATTTTGTTCAGTAACCAAGACATGTTTTGTGGCAAGTACCAAACAACTCTAGAGGTTCTGAACCTTACTGTAGTGCAGTAAATTCCAGTAGGTTTCCTTCAGGTACGATGGTTTTACTGGTTCCTCTCCTGTGTTCTTCCTACAGATAAATTTCCGCTGCAAGCCTTCCTTCAGGGAGTCAGGATCCCGGAACATACGGGAGGTGAGACATGTGCCTTCCACTCTGCCCACATCTGCATCTCCCATTTCCAGTTTGGTGCTAAAGACACCAGATGCTGCCAGCGTGTTGCCCATCCAAGTGGAGGCATCATGTTCCTTCCTGCTCCAAGGGGGTGGTGCCATAAAAAGGATGTTTCTTTGCAAGGCAGCAGCACAGACTGGGTTTGAAGAGTGAGAAGTTTGCAGGCAGCAGATGCAGAGCATCCGATGGTTTGCGTGTCCTGAATCTGCATGGGAGGAACCTACAGACAGTATTTTTTGGGAGAAATTTTGACCCTTGTGTTGGGTCCTCAGGCACATAGATGAGGCTGTGGCAAACAAGGTCCCCAAGTCTCCTGCAATTTGGAAGGAAGCAGTATGGGCTCATTTCTGGCTTTATCACTCAGCCCTGACCTAGGTGCCACAGGTGGCAGTGGAAGTTGGCCACAGTAGTGGTATCAGACCCCTTCAGCCCATGTTGTAATGTACTGGGCATAAGCAGTGGCCTGGAACCTGTCTGCTGACCTGCACTGGTGGAAGCAGCTGTCAGCCTTCATGCTTCACCCTCCAGCCTGTGGAGCCAATGTTTCCTGTGCAGTGCTCTGGAGTGGGTGTGGGTGGCTCAGTCATGGGCCATTTTGGTAACAGAGCTGCCCCCAGCACACTGTGTTTGTGCTGGCACAGCAGACCTAGCTGGGGAAGGATCTTCAAACACAGGGCTGCCTGCTTTGAAATGCTGGCATGACATTGTAAAGGGAAGCTTTCAGCATCACTTTAAACCTTCCTTTCTTGCTTTGCTTTTCTTTCTGTGCCTCCTTCCCATATTGCTCTTAGTCTAGCTCCCTTATTTGTGCTTCATTTACCTTTTGGGCTCTGCTAACAGCTTGCTGCCTCTGCTCAATTGTCTGTCTCTATTTTTCTTCTCTCCAGCCTCTACAAATGTCTTCTCCCTGCCCTTTCTTGCTTTTTCTTTTCTCTCACAAACTCTGCTTCTCCGTCCTGTCTTTCTAATGCTTCTCAGTTCCTCCAAGGCCTCTTCCTTCCTGTTTCCCTAAAAAGGTGCTCTTCTGGCCTTTGTGGTGCCAGGGATCTCCTTCAGGGTCAGCCCTTTTGCTAGATGTGCCTGCTTGGACCCAGAGCTGAGCTCAAGGCATAGCCCTCCTTCTGCTCCTACTGGATTAATATCCGCTAAAGCCAACAAGACTCTTCATCCCCTCCCGTGTGCTGCACTCAGAGGAGGCAACACTGGAGCTGACCCCAACCTCCTGCCAGTTTCTGTCTCTCATCATCATGATCCCAAAAGCTGTCAGGAGCAGGATGTTGGGCCCTGTCATGCCAGCCTGTGAACTCGCATTCCCTTTCTCTTTTTGCTTCTCTCTCTGCAGTTTTCCAGCCCATTCCCAGTCCAGGGCTGGAAAAATAGGATAGTATTTAGGACAAGTGTTAGTTCATTACAAAAATTCTGAATCCCTCACAACCACTTCTGCAAGTCCCAGCCCTGAACCCACTGTGAGCCTGCAAGCAGAGCAGAGGTGCTGGCGTGCAGCCTTGCTGCCTACGCTGGCACTGAAGCAAGCTCAGGATTGGCCTGGGGAAAGAGCAGGGGGAAGTGGGTGTGGAGGGCTTTGGTGCTGCCACTCTTCTCGAGGAATGTGGAGTGAGGAGGTTCACTGCTTAGCTGCAAGCACTTCCATCTTCTTCCTGTGGGTACAAACTGTGTCTCTCCAGGAATTTTCACGCCATCCAACAGCACATTTTTCACCTGGCACCAGGGGCATCTGGGCAGAGATGTCAGGGGACAGAGATGTGCTGCTGCTTACCCACTCTCCATTGTATCTGCTTTGTGTGATTCTCAGTCTTCAGTTTCCCTGTCCTCCTTCCTATTTCTTCTGGTTTTAATTCCCTTTTCTTGGAGCATCATAATTTGACCTCTTGTCCCCTGATTCTTTGGCTTTGCCTTCTCTCAGCGAGTGGGGGGCTGGTCCCTATGAGCAGTGGTTTTGCTGCAAGAGCAGAGGTTGGCTGGCCTGTGTCCATTTCTTCTGCCTGTTTCTGTGTTCCCTCATGCACTGGGCCCTTCTTTTTTTTTTTCAATTTTCTTTTTTTCTTTTCCGTTTAGCCCATTGTTGTCCGACATCACTGGGTGCACCGGAGGCGGCAGGAAGGGAAATGCCGGCAGTGTGGCAAGGTGAGAGGGCGTCTTGGGCATTTTTCTCAGCCTGAAGGAAACCTAAGGTCAAGCCAGAGACACGCACAGGGCCTGGAACCAGGGACATCCCACCATTCCTGTTTGGCAGCAAAACCAAGACACGTGCCCTGCTTTACTCAGTGAAGCACTGTGTAACTGCTTCCCACATAGAGTAGTTCTTCCCCTGGGCCCAACTAATCCTGAAAGAGACTGTCTTCCTGACATGCTTTCCTTGAGCAATAAGGACACCCCTACAGAGCACAGTGGCCTCCCTGGTGCTGTTGTTGTGATTGGGACTGTGTGACAGGATCTGGAGGGCTCCAGCTGCAGGCATGCTCTCTTTGTTAATGTCTCTTACTGTTGGGTGACAGGAAACTGCAGGGAATTCCCTAAGCCTCTTGTCCTTTCTTCCATAGGGTTTTCAGCAGAAGTTTGCCTTCCACAGCAAAGAGATTGTAGCCATCAGCTGTTCCTGGTGCAAACAAGCGGTGAGCAGAGCCCCCCCTGAATGCCGTAGCAGTCGGTTCTGCACGAATGACCTCTGCTTTCTGCCGGGGCTCCCCGAGCTGCCGCTCGGCAGCCTGCCCTCAACAGCTCCCCCTGCTGGCAGAGGCTGTACTATGATATTTGCAAGCTCCTTTGAGAAACTTTCTCTTCATTGCCTTCCCGTTACAAAATTCCTGCATGGTTTCATCCAGCACTCCCTGCATTGGCATGGGGAACCTGAGAGGAGGAGATTGTGGCTGTGCCCAGCAAAATGAGCAGCTGAGTTTTCTCTCTGTCTTCTCCTTGGCCAGTATCACAGCAAAGTATCGTGTTTCATGCTGCAACACATTGAAGAGCCCTGCTCACTGGGGGCTCATGCTGCTGTCGTCGTTCCTCCCACCTGGATTCTGCGGGTCCGGCGGCCCCAGGTAAGTCACTTCAGCTCTTGGGGCTCTTTCAAAGTTACCACTTGCCCAGTGGCTCCTCACAGAGTTTTTGTGTTTGTTCCTTTTCTATATAGAATCCACTGAAATCTAGTAAGAAAAAGAAGAGGACGTCATTCAAGCGGAAATCCAGCAAAAAGGGGGCTGAGGTAAGATATGAGGGGACTGGGAATGACTTTGTCTTGGAAGGGCAGAGGGACTGAACAGTGAGGAGCAAGGCTGAGAATAAAAGTGGGCTTTTCTGGGTCTGTACTGACATTAAGGAGGTTGAGCTGGAGGGAGCGTGCCTGCTGGCAGGGTATATCCCAGAAACAAAGTTTACGGGGTGGCTGGGATGTTTTCTTCCACCTGCTTCTAACCTGCATGATGTTAGGGCTCAGCTGGAGGTGGCAGTTTGCATTTCCCCAGCTTTGTTGAAGGATCTATGGTATCTCTTGCAGGAAGGGAGGTGGAAACCCTTTGTCATCAAGCCCATGCCAGCTCCTCTCATGAAGCCCTTGCTGGTGTTCGTGAACCCCAAAAGTGGTGGGAATCAGGTATGGCCTTGTCTGGTATGTCTAAGAAGACATCTCTGTGAGGGCATTGCCATTTGAGTGCTGAGCTGTCATCACAGTTTTGGTGATGCTTCAGCTGCACAAGAGGCCCCAATGCCAGTTTACTGCATAGCAGTTCCTACCTCTGCCAGGCTTTGCCTGTGCCCCCTCCAGAATGGTGTTGTCTTAGCCTGTCCCCAGGCAGGACCAAATGCCTCCTTCTGCTATCCACTGGGAACTCAATATTACCTGAAGTCTTTCTTCTCCCCATAGGGAGCCAAGATCATCCAATCCTTCATGTGGTATCTCAACCCACGGCAGGTTTTTGACCTCAGCCAGGGTGGACCCAAGGAGGCGTGAGTACTGATGGGGGCAGCACCTTTCTCTCCTCCATCCATGTCCCAGGATTCCTCCTGAGAGCTCTTCCCCCAGCTCATAGAGGGAGACATGGATGTGGCTTTGTGAATGCCAAGGGCTCTGAGAGGCAGCTGCTGTGTAACACCTTCAGTAACTCTCCCCTCCTCAACCTCCCTGTTGCCCACAGGCTGGAGCTGTACCGCAAAGTCCACAACCTCCGGATCCTGGCGTGCGGGGGAGATGGCACGGTGAGTCTCCAGCCGCTCCATCCCCTGGTGCTCCTTCTCCCAGGCCTTTCCAGTGCAGACAGCAGCCCTCCTTGTTGTAATCCAGAACAGGACAAACTGGGCACACTGCATCCGTGGTACAGCTGGTAGCAGAGATGCTGTGGGTCCCCTCATGCACTGTTCCAGGGAGTGCTAGTCTAACATGTCTGGATTTGTAGCCCTCAAAAGAGGGCCAGTGTCCTCACTGGGGTTACTGGTACATCCTGCAGCACCTGATTAGAGTGTTAAAGACTGTGAATAGCCTCAATTGTGGCTAAGGAGACCCCATCTCTGCCCCTCTGCCATCTCTAGTGCTCTAAGTCACCTCTGCCTGCCTGCTGCTGGTCCCTGAGACAGCTAATGGTTTCTTTGTACTCTCTTGCTTGAGCAGGTGGGCTGGATACTCTCCATTCTGGACCAGTTACGCATCAACCCACCTCCTCCTGTGGCCATCCTGCCTTTGGGGACAGGGAACGACTTGGCCAGAACACTGAACTGGGGTGGGGTAAGTGATGGGCACAGGAACCCACTGCCTAGACAGCAGGGCTGAGTGCTTCAATCCTTGTTTCAGACACATGGTTGGAGATTTGCATGGGCTCGTGTTTCAACTTCCTGTAAATACAGACCAACAAATAAGTGCAATATGGATGTTGCTGTTCTTCTGACATTTGAATGGTACTGCATTAGATTATACAAAAGCAATTGACTTTTCAAACTTTGGAAAATTTTTAGAAGGAAGATGTATTGTTTTAAATTTCAAATCCCATTTTGTGGTGCATTCAAGTAGAGTTGATCTCTTCTACATCTTTTATTCTGAGATGCCTTACCAAAGCCTGCTGTCTGGGCTATCTCTCTGGGAGGCAGGCATGAGACTCCCCAAGTCCTTCTCTTCACCAGGGTTACACAGATGAGCCTCTGTCCAAGATCCTATCGCACGTTGAAGATGGGAACATAGTACAGCTCGATCGCTGGAACCTCCATGTGGAGCCAAACCCTGACACAAACCCTGAGGAAAAGGATGAGGCAGCTGCTGACAAGGTGGGACACCTCCTCTCCATGTCTGTTCCCTGTGCTAGAGTCTGCATTCTCTCTTCTGTCACTGGCTCGGGCAGTCCCAGCACTTGGGGCTATGTTCTCGGGTTGGTGTTTCCCTCTCACTCCTCCAATTCCACCATTCTGTTCATGGCTCTGAGCTGCAGCATTCATAGCAAGAGTGTATGTAGAGTTCATAACTAAATGCCTACCAAAGGTTTTTAACCACAACTTACAACAGGTATAAGCCCAGTCTTCTGTGAGGCTGTTTTCTTTAACAGAAACATGGGTGACTGCAGAAACCTCAGAGAGCAGAGTGTGTACCCTTGGACCGTTTCCCTTACCCCTAGGAGCCAGGAAATAATCCATCATCTCAGGCTGGTGACCTCTGTATTTTCCTAGGGAAAAGGCAAGCAGGATCTTTCAGCCTCATGAGCACTGTAATGGCTCTGCTGTAACCTGACCTCATCTGTGCCATGGGCACATGCTGGCAGCCTCATCCTTACTTCTCCTTTCCATTTCAGCTCCCTTTGGATGTCTTTAATAACTACTTCAGCCTTGGCTTTGACGCACGGGTGACGCTGGAGTTCCACGAATCTCGAGGTACGGGGCAGTGGCAGGACTTGGTCGGGGTCTGTGGGATGGGCCTGTTCTCATTTGTGGGTTCCTCAGGAAAGGGAACAAGAGAATTGCTTCAGGGACAGAGCTGGAGGTGAAACATGAGGAGCAAGTCCAAGCTGCAAAGGGGGAAGAGGGGTGCCTGCACAGGAAAGAAGCTGGGGGCAGACCCCTGGCTGAGGCTGGCTGGAGAGCTGTGTCTGAGGAGAGCTGGCAAGTAAAATATTTCCATGTGTAGGCCAGTGACCTGGACTTTTTTCTTCTTTCCCCAGAGGCCAACCCAGAGAAGTTCAACAGCCGGTTTCGGAATAAAATGTTCTATGCTGGGGTGAGTGTGTGTGGGATATCTGAGCCTGCCGTCATAGTAGCCTTAACGTCAGCTGCAGCACAGGCATGGACCTGCCTCCTGCCTGCATCTTAAACTCACCCATAAGCTACATGGACCTTCACATGCACCCAAGTTAAGCCCCCCAGCCTGAAGCTGGAAAGTTGCTGGAGAAATGCTGCAGCACTGGGAGTCACAGCTCCCCTTTGGCTGTGAGTGCTGCTGGCAGCACAATTTGCTCCGTGGCCTGCAGTACAGTTGCTGTATTGATCTCCTGCCACTATTGTTCTTGATCTCAAACTCTCAGGGGTGGTCACCGAGGCAGGACCTCCCTGGAGCTGTGGGAAGGCAGACTGCTGTGGGAAGGCAGAGGAAAAGGAAGCCTTTCCATAGTCTGCACACTACTTTGTTCTTTTATTATATACCTTGGACTAGTTACAGCTTCCTGGCTGATTACATCACCCTACTGTGTCTCACCTGACAGCTTTGCATTCAGTATCATCTTTGTTCCTCTGTCTCCCCATCCTCAATATACTTTCTAGCCATGTGTCTGGTGACTGGTATTCGAGCAGTACTAAAGGCCAAGTGCTGCTCTGTGCCATCTCACATCTGTCTCGCTTGTGTCTCTTTTGCTGTCTGCACAGTTAAGCCCAAAGGAGACCCATGCTGTCCCTCCTGGAATCTCTAGATGGAGTCACTTCAGCTCTGTTTAGTGGTACTTCATATCAGCTTGAGACTGAATTTGTCTCTTGTTACTTGATTCTCACTGTAGGAGACTCATCTTGTCAACTCTTCCCTAAAGTCAGGACTGGGCTGGCAAGGGAGTACTAGAGCATGTTACTGAAGGTGCCTCCAGGTTTTTGGTAGGCAAAATAGCAAGAGGAATGGATCAGGTTGTTTTGGAGGAGAAGAGGACTTCTGACAGTGGATGAAAAGGGGGTTTGCAGATTTGATCAGCTGAGGTCTGTGTCAGGTCAGTGGCAGGCTGAGTTGCAGGTCAGAGACAGGCTTCCTGGCTTCCCATTCTGGTGAACACCTGGGCACTAACTCTGTCTCTTACCTTGGCAGACGGCCTTCTCCGACTTCCTCACTGGGAGCTCCAAAGACTTGGCGAAGCATGTCAGGCTGGTTGTGAGTGTGCTGGGGTGCTCTGGTCCAGGGAGGGGGTGAGCTGTAGAGGTGTGAAGAACGTCCCTTGGCACTGAGTATGTCAGGGTTGGGGAACGAATGGGGAGCTTCCTGGGAGCATCAGCTTCCCCTGACTTGGAGAACATTCACTGTAGGGAGCAGAGGAGGGCGGCCATTTCTTCCTAAGTGAGTAGGATGGACCAGGCTCCCCCTTACAGCAGCCTGAACACCCCTGTGTTGTCTCTAGTGTGATGGGATAGACCTGACCTCCAAGATTCAGGACCTGAAGCCCCAGTGCCTGGTCTTCCTTAACATCCCAAGGTGAGCACCCTCAGGACCTGTCTTCATATGCTGGGCTTTTCACACCTGTGCTGTAGATCTTTGCCTGGGTTTGGGGTGCCAGTCCAGGTATTTCTTCTTGTCCTTTCACAGGTACTGTGCAGGCACCATGCCCTGGGGCAACCCTGGGGAGCACCATGACTTCGAGCCCCAGCGCCATGATGATGGCTGCATTGAAGTTATTGGCTTCACCATGACATCACTGGTGAGTTAGTGCTGTTGCCAGTTGTAGGTAGCAATCAGGGGAGTGAATGGTCCCAATGGTCACGTGTCAGCCAGCCCACAGCTCCACAGATCCTCTCTGGAGGAGTTGTGGTGCTGGCCTATATGAGTGTCTGCTCTGTAAGATTTAGGCGAGGTGCTGTCATGCCCTGGTCTCTGTGAGTCCCTTCTCACTGAAATCATACCTGAGACCCTCAGAACTTGGTTCACTTGTAATATCCAGATGACAATGGATGTTCCCCTCATCCATGTCTCAGTCCCATGTTCTGCTCTCACTCTGGACCCTTTCACAGGCTGCCTTGCAAGTCGGTGGCCATGGGGAGCGGCTCTGTCAGTGCCGGCAGGTGGTTCTCACCACATCCAAGGCCATCCCCATGCAGGTAGATGGAGAGCCCTGCAAGCTGGCAGCTTCCTGCATCCACATCTCTCTGCGCAACCAAGCCAACATGCTGCAGAAGACCAAGCGGCGCAACTCCATGCCTCTGCTCAATGAGTAGGTTCCTCAGATTGATCTGCCACCTCCTCTCCAAGGAAGGATGGTTGGCAGGGAAAGGGATGGGACTGATCCGTGACTGGCAGAGGCATTTCAGTCCTTTCTTGGGTAGGGTCTGGGAAGGGATTGGGTCACAGAAGTAAGACCAGACCCTGATGCTGAAGAAGCTGCTGGTGCCAAGCTCCCCACCCCAGTCTATACAATACTCTTGCCTATTTTGGGGGGATTAGGGCAATAAGGAGAAAGCAGGGTGTCACTTTCTGATATCTTCCTTTTTCCTTGCCCCCTGCACACAGCCAGCAGCCAGTGCCCGAGCGGCTGCGGATCCGGGTGAGCCGCATCAGCATGCGCGACTATGAGGCACTGAACTATGACAAGGAAAAGCTCAAGGAAGCCTGTGAGTGACCAGCTGAGTGACCAAGGGGTGGGAACTGCAGTCCCCAAGTATGGCAAAGCCTGTAGCTAAACTGTGAGGTGTTGGAAATGGGGGGCTGCTCTCTGAGTTAAGCCTGTGCCCTGTCCTTCAGCTGTGCCACTGGGGATCATCGTGGTTCCAGGAGACAGTGACCTGGAGTTGTGCCGGACCCAGATTGAGAAGCTACAGGAGGTGAGTCTGCATGAAAAGTGGTCATAGCTTAATACTGAGGATGAAGGGACTCAGGGAAAAGATTTCTAAGCCACCTTGACCTGCACACACCACCATACACACTCTTGCTTTGGGTCACGCTTAGAGGTCACGGTTTGCCTTCACCATGTGGTGAAGGCAGGGTCCCAAGCTGGATGCCTTGTTGCTCCCTGCTGTCTGACAGCTTCTTTTTCAGCATTCCTCTTCTGACCAGAAGGTGACTCTGAAAAACTACAGGGTAGTATAAAAAGTCAGCACACATCCTGTGGGGGCCTATAACCATTCAACCCTTCACAGGCTCTTTGTTTCCTGTCACAGCTCTGCCTTCTCCAGGTGCCTAGATTAGGTTTATAACCCCTCCCACTCTTCTCATTTGCAAGCACTAATTTTTGTGTCCTTGCCAATGTACTAGCACATGTCTGTGACCTGTGCATAGACTGTGTTACTGTTGCTCCTGGTGACCAATGCCTTCTAAGCCCATAGTGTGGCTTCTGGTGCTGCACTGCTCAATCTGATTGTTGCACAGAAGATTGAAAGGACCTTTCTTAGTCTGCTGTTAGCTGGCCCTTGTGCCTGTGGGAATCCCATGCATTGTATGTGTAGAGTCCATCAGAGCTGAGTTGCAGAGCTGCTTGCCTGGGCTGGCACACTGGCATCTGCCTGTTGCTGTGCCTGCTCTGTATGCGTGTCCCCTGCCCACTTTGTGCCCAGGCACTGGTGGGGACACACAGGCAGGCACATGGCTAGCAGCTCCTGGATTCACAGAGTAATGCTCTCCTGCTGTGTCAGTGTGATTGCCCCTGCAATCTTCCGCACCTTTAAAACTGTGCAGTGTGGCCAGTGTTCCTTGGTCACCTCATGGTTTACCTCTTGTCACTCCTTGGGTAAGCTCTGTGCTCTGATCTTAAAGCCAGGCAAGGACCAGCTACCTTGGCCAGACAGTCTGTAAAGCCAGACATAGCAGCACACCAAGCAACTCCAGTGGGATGAGAGAGGGATTGGGGGGCTGCCCAGACGCAGGCTGTAACAGGACACCTTGCTTTTCTGCAGGATTTCCCTGCACAGCCCTCTGCTTTAGAGCGCCTGCTCTTCCAGGTGTGTATAGCCTCTCTCTGTCCTCTGGGCCTATCTGCCATGTCCACTGTGCCAGTCTCAGGGGCTCATCTTGTGACATTGCTCTACAGTCAGCTCCAGTCTGTCCCATGGTACTCCCTGTTGCGGTGTATTGTGGCTGTGTTCAATTTCATCCAAATGCCTGTGGTCCTCTATGTCTGCAGAGACCTCCCAAAGCACGAGAAATGCTCTGAAGAGAGATGCAGGGGCCATAAACTATGTCTTTATCCTCTCTTTTATTATGCAGGAGGGAGATGGAGCCAAGCCGAAGACAGTGTCATTCCAGAGGCTGTCACCCAAATGGTGCTTCCTGGACTGTGAGTATCCCCCTCCACTAGGAGCTGGGTCTGATGATGTGCTGGCAAGGTCCTTTGGTCTGCCAGCTCAATGGAGGTAGGGGATGGAGATCCACGTGGCTGCAAAGATCCAAGGGTTATTGATGCCTTAGAAACCACAGAAGCACTTGAGAATTAGGGCATAGGAATTACAGCTCCTATGCCCAGCAAAGTGGAGGAATCAGTAGCTCAACTGAAGTGTGTCAGCACCGATGTATGCAGCATGGGCTAAAAACAGGAGGAGCGAAAAGATATGGCAGAGCAAGAAAACTATGACATAGTTTCCATCACAGAGACATGGCAGGACAAGTCACACAGCTGGGGTGTTTTAATGGATGGCTATAAACTCTTCAGAGGGGACAGGCAAGGAAGGAGACCAAGCTGATCTCTTCCTAAGTTGAGATGACTTGCTCAGTGAAAAGCTGTGGATGTTGTCCACCTGAACTTCAGTAAAGCATTTGACACTGTTTCCCACAGCATTCTCCCGGGGAAGCTGGCTGCTTGTGGCTCACATGAGTGCACTGTTCACTGGCTAGAAAACCAGCTGGGTGGCCAGGCCCACAGAGTGGTGGTGCCTGGAGTTACATCCAGCTGGTAGCCAGTCACCAGTGGTCATCCCCAGGGCTCAGTATCGGGCCTGGTCCCATTTATTGTCTTTATCAGTCTGGATGGGGAGATCAGGCACACCTCAGTCACTTGCAGACAAGTTGGGTGGCAATGTTGATCTGTGGGAGGGCAGGAAGGCACTGCAGAGGGATCTGGGCAGGCTGGATCATGGGCCAAGGCCAATTGCACAAGGTTCAAAAAAGTAAATGTCCTGACCTTGGGTCACAACTACCCCGTGCAGTGCTGCAGGCTGGAGGAATGGGGGCTGGAAAGCTGCTCAGCAGAAAAGGACCTGGAGGTGCTTGTTAATGGCACCTGAACATGATTCAGTGTGTGTGTCTGTCAGGATCTGATTACTAAGGTTCTTAGGAATGCCCCTGCCCAAATTAAGGTGAAAATGAGACCATGTGTCAGTGACAATAGTATGGGGTTTTGACTGTAAATATGAGAGAGAGAGAAATAGAAAATAGATGGGGGGACAGAAAGAGAGTAACAGGGACAGAATAAGGAAAGTATCACCACTCCATGGATCCCAGTGATGTTCCATTGATCCTCTCCAGCTGGTCTTTTTGGTGGTGAAGGTCACCTGAAAAAAAATAGAATCTGATGGGTTAATACACACTCAGTCCATGTATAAAAATCCCTACCTCCCTGGAGTAGGGGGGGAGTGCCGCTGTCTCTTCCACACTTGTTGCATTATGTGCAGTCCTGTGGTGCAAAGCCTCAGGAATGACTGTGGAGGCACTTTGGGGGGGCTTTGATGGATTAGTGCACCCCCTCAGCTGCCCCTCACGTGAATGTCCCATGGATATCGCCTTCCCAGGGTTGGGGGTTCCATAGCCAGTTTGTACAAGGGAGGATGGGTTCACAGCCCCTGAGCAGAGGTTACAACGCACCAAAACTTCCTCCCTCCGCTCAGTTGGGGGGTGAAATCTGTGCAAACCTGCTCCCAGCAAATGGGTCTGTGAGCTACAGCCTCCCCCACCCCAAAGCAAGCCAAAGATGATTCTTAGCATGACTGCTGGGTTGGGCTCACATTCTTGTCCTTGTTTACTTGTTTGTTCCAGGTGATTGAAGAATTCCCTTTATTTAATCTTAGCAGTTTAACTTTCAGTTCAAAGTCTCAGTCAGGTATCTTCAGGGAAGCTTCTTTGGTTGTAGCTTCTTTATACAGTTTTTATACAGTTATAATGAGTAAAACTTTATAGGCCAATGGCCTTCTGGCCTGGAAAAGTGTAGCCAGCAGGACCAGGGCAGTGATTGTTTCCCTGTTCTTAGCCCTGGTGAGGCCACACCAGGAATCCTGCATCCAGCTTTGGGTCTCTCACTGCAGGAAGGACACTGAGGTGCTGGAGCATGTGCAGAGAAGGACAATGGAGCTGGTGAAGGCTCTGGAGCACAGATTTTAGGAGGTGTAGCTGAGGAAGCTGGGATTGGTTAGCCTGGAGAAAAGGAGGCTAAGGGGAAACCTTACCACTCTCTACAACTACTTGGAAAGAGATTGTGTGAAATTGTGTTGGTCTCTTCTCCCACATAACAAGCAAGAGGATGAAGGGAAATGAATGACCTCAAGTTGCATCAGGGAGGCTTTTGTTCCCCACTGAAAGGGGGATCAAGCATTGGAACAGGCTGCCCAGGGAAGTGGATGAGTCCCTATCCCTAAAGATACTTAAAAGATGTGTAGATGTGGCACTTAGGGATGTGGCTTAGTGGTGGACTTGGCAGTGTTGGTTTAATGGTTGGACTCAATCTTAAGGGTCTTTTCCAACCTAAGCAGTTTTAGTGATCATTCCGTGGTTCCATGAATTTGGGGGGTGAGAGAACAGACATTTAGTGACAAGTGACAGGGAACCATTGAGGCTTGGGACTCATGGATATTGGGGTCTTTGGGGCTGAGCACAGCAGTGCTTTCCCCCAGGCTGCATATCTGGCTGCTGACCCGGAGTGGAGCAAGGGGAGTCTGTGGTTCTCTTGCCGCTGGAGCTGAAGGCAGCTTGGTGGCATGTGTTTGTCACTGCGGGACTGCTGGGGATGCTCTCCTGTGTTGTGCAGGCAGGGGGCCCCCCTGCTCCAGCATGCCCGGAGCTGGGCTCACCATGAGCATAGCAGTGTTACGGGAGAACAGCCTCCCTGTTGGGCTCCAGCTGCTGCTTCTCCCCTGCCTGAAAGTACCTTTCTCTTCTCCCTTTGCCTTCTCCGACCAAGAACCTCCCTCTGTACCTAGAAGCTGGCTGAGTGAAATGCCCATTTGTAGCATTTCATCTCTCTGATACCCCAGCAAGCAGCATGTAGACCACAGCAGAGCACAGCCATGGGTTGCAAAGTGGGCCTGGGAAGCCTCGTGCTAGGCAGAGAGGGTGCAACTTCTCCCTTCAAGGTTCTAGCCCTTTGTATGGTGTTGCTGGTGGTGCTGCTCCCCGGTGTCACTACTAGGACTGCTGTACCAGGGCCACTTTCCCTTCTGCCAGTCTCCCAGCAGCAGGTTCTGGGGTCAGGAAAATGTGTCAGGAAAGAGACTAGAATCTCATTCAACACAGCACAGGTTTGTTCAAGTAGCTGAATTATAGGCCTTGAACAGTAGCTCCCTGGATGCAAATATCCAGGATAAACATGGCTCTTTCACTCCTCTCACCTGCTCTAGCACATCTCCACTCTGTTTGCAGAGAGACTTCCTTGGGTCTGCAAGAATCCCAGTGCAGCAACCTCTCCTGGACTGGCACCAGCAGCCTGTCAGGATATTGGGGAAATGCTGCCCTGCATAGGAATCCAGCTGTCCTGGCACTGTGCTTTTACTTGTCCTGGTCTCCCTTGGTGATGCCCTTAATCCATAACCCCTCCCTGCTCCCCTGGGGGTGGTGGCCATGTGTGTCTGGCGCCAGCATAACCACTTGCTCTGTTGGAGCTCCTCTCTCTCTGTGGTGATCTCTTCTCTAAGGAAGAGGGATGCACTCAGACAGGCTGGAGGCTGATTTGAAGCTCTCCTGCCATCCTAGGAGACAGGGATTTGGATCTACAGCTGGTGGTGGCATGCTCTGTTGTGCCTGGCAGTCACATGCTCTGTGGCCTCATGAAGGTCCTTAGTCAAGTCAGCAGGAGGCTGAGCCCTCTCTTTTCCCAGCCTCCTGTAGTGCCCCCATTTCTGAGCACTGTTCAACAAGGTGCACCATGTTAATCACAGCAGTTCCTCACCTGGTATAAGTGAGTGCTGAGATGTGCACTTCATAGTCCTGAGCTTCATCTGCTCGCGATAATGCTGGAGCACCTGAAAGCCTCCAGAAAGGCCATGGCATCAGCTAGTTGTGTTCCTGCCTTACCTCCTTACCTGTGGCTCCCTGCCGGGAGTCATTGAGGAGAAGGTAGCAAGCAAAGGCGCGTTTCACGGGGACATGGTGGTCTGTTGGCCTAAGGGGCTGCCTCTAGGGTGAAGACATCAGCAGATTCATGAAGGGAAGTGGTTTGCTCCTGGTCAGGGGCTGCTGTTTGCTTTGCTGTACCCTCTGTGCAATGCATTAAGTGGCTGGATAGCTCACTGTCACTGGTGGTGGGAAGAGGCGCTGTCTCGCACCAAGGATCAGCCTGTCTCGTTCTGTTCCTGTCTTACAGCAACCACGGCCGATCGGTTCTACAGGATAGACCGTGCACAGGTGAGTGCAGCCTCACCCTGCACTGTCATCCCCTGGGAAGGTGCTTGGGTGTCCCACCTGCACACAGACCAACAGGCAGGCTTAGCCTTAGGGCCACACAGGTGTCATACCACTGACCTGGCCTTTGGCATCCCCCAAAGGGATGGCATGATGAGCCTGGCCCAGGACCAGGCTCAGCACCTCCAGGTTTCTAGAGAAAAGGGAAGAAGCCTGGGTGGTAGCGCAGAACCTTGGGTTGAAAGCTGCCTGCAGGGCCCTCCAGTGCAGCAGGTAAGGAATAGCAAACATAGCAAGACTGGCCAGGGGACCTGCCAGCTGGGATCATCTTCACCAGTATTAGATACTTTCTCTAATGATCTGGGGAGGGGAGCATGGAGATAAGGTTTACGAGGTTGCTAAGGTGGCAGGAGACAGGAAGCCTGAAAAGAACAAGGAGATGCAAAGGCTCCCAGGCGCAAGACTGTTGAAGCCACCATTGCTGTGCAAATGGGTGGGCCACAAACTCGCCCAATGGGATATGAGGGGATGTAGTTTTGCAGAAGTAGGTCTTGCTTCTGAGGAAGCATGTCCTGACTTGTTTCTTTCAGGAACACCTCAACTATGTGACAGAGATCTCTCAGGATGAGCTCTATGTCTTGGACCCAGAGCTAGTGGTCACTCAGACTGTGAGCACTTCTCCTGCCATGCCTGACCTCGTGGACTCATCTGCCACACCCCCTGGGCACCATTTTGCATTTCCTTCCTGTTCCTCCTCTCCATCCTCCTCTCCTGCCCCCAGGTGAGTGTGAAATGGGAGTGCTGGGCCTCAGGAAGAATGGGCAGTGATGGGAGAGCTAGGGTTGGCTTCACAGCATTGATCCCTGGGCCAGATTACAGGGGAGCTCCCTGGATATAGCAGGAATTCACTGTTGAGTAAGGCCAAGGGATGAGATGCAGTCCTGTTTTCCTTGTTCCTCTGCCAGTGCTGCCCTAAGTAGCCACCATCACCAGGTGGCTCAGCCATGGGGTCAAGCTCCAGCACCTGGGCCACGGGGCAGAGGACAAGGGTGTCTCTCAGCCAAACCAAGGCCAGTGATGAGTATGGAGGAGCAATGGCACCAGGAGCAGCAGTAGAAATGGGAGTGGGGATGGGGAAGAACCCAGATCAGGGAAGGAGTGCTACAGGCAGGTTTCTCCATCCCTCTAAGGTGGCATGCCCATTAGGGCCATCTGCTGCCAGGACTGGCAGGGTTAGTTACGCTTTCTCTTCTTCCCTTCCAGTGCTGAGCCTGAGCACTGCCTCCCACATAACGGTGAGTGGAGTCATACCCCTGGTCATACCCCCTCTTGGGTTGCACTTTTGTTTTCCTGCCATGGGTTTTTTTGGCTACTCTCTGGTTAGCAGGGAGTAGCCCTATTGTTCCATGTGTTCTGAAACATGGAGCCCTGCAGGCAGGTGACCCAGAGGTGAGCACAAGAGACCTGACAATGATTTGTGGAGTGGCCCAGCCAGGCGCCTTCCCAGCTCCAACATGCGGGAAATTATGTGGCAAGGGGTTAATCCCCCACCTGCAGGGCCGAGCGTTGTGGACTGGGTTGGAAGGCTGTCTCTGCCTCTCCCTGAGGAGGTGGGAGCACTAGATCAGGGGCCTCACCAAGCTGAACAAATGGAAAGAGTTTCCTGAAACTTGATTGGAGCCTGGAGGTGTGAGTGAGTCATTGGTGAGAAGCATCTTGGCTGCTGGCTGATGCCCAGGAGACCTGCTCCCCATTTTCATCACAAGTTATCCTGCCCAAGGGCAGAGACTACTCCCCCTGCATCTCCCTGGGGCTGAGATCTGGCTGCACCCCTAGCTACGTGGTGTCTCTTTCCTTTCCCTGGCTTGTTCCTTACATTCCTCAAGGTGGAGAAGCCATGTAAATGCAGTCTGACCAAAGGGTTAATCCCTGGAGGAGCTTGTGCTCCTGCTCCACACCTCTGGTGCCCAGCTCTTCTCTCCAAGATTAGATAAGCAGTGTTCCAGATTGACTTTTCTGACCCTGACGCATCTCTCTTTGCAGATGACCTTCTGATAGAAGCTGCCAAGAGTGGTAACTTCAGCAAGGTAGGTGCTCCAGCAGCCTGGTGCAATGAGCAGCCAAGGCTGGCTCCTGGGCTGGTGTGCCCTTTGGGCTAAGAGAAGCCCTGCCAGCTGTGCTCCCCAGTTGCCCTGGAGCAGTGCCTGTCAAAGGCCTTCCTTCAGGAGTGGTGGCTAGAAACCAGGCAGGCTTCTGGCAAGGAGCTCTGGTTCATCTCCTGGGAGACACAAAGGGAAGGGAGGAGAAGGGAAGGGACTTGGTAACATGGCTGAGCTGGACAAAGCTCCCCATCAGCACCAAGTATCCACACAACCTGTCAGACACTCAAGCTGGGGCTTGGAGCTGGGAAATGCAACTCATCCTGAGCAATCTGACAATCCTGTAGTTCCAAGAGCTGCACCAAGCTGGAAGAGACCTGATGGTGCGAGATTCCTCGGGCCAGACTGTCCTCCACCATGCTGTCAAATCAGGAAGCAAGGACATCGTCAAATACATCATCGAGAATGGTGAGCTGGAGTCAGAGTGCCACTCTTAGCAAAGGAGCCTGGCAGCAAAAAAAAAAATCAACCCTCTGCTTAGAGGGAGCCAGGAGCTCCTGGGCTTAGATCCCTTCCCTCTGGGTTTGCTACGTCATCCTTCTGGTGTATGGGCTTTTCCTGGCTTCTGTCTGCCAGTACTGGGCAGTCCTCATGGCTATTGCTGCATCCTGGCAGGGATCAGCATATCTCTGGGAAACATTTCTCAGTGTCTTGCTTCTGCTTCCAGGGCAGCTGACCAGTTGTTTTTGGCAGTTCCCATTGAAATACAGACAGTTTTATTTTTATTTAGATATTTCTCTGTAGTGAGTCCACAACCAGTTCTTCTTTCCTGGGATCAGCTGGGCTCAGATGCCACTGCTGACCTGAGTTCTTTGAAGCTAGGACTTTGCAGGCAGCATGAAAATATGCCCCTATGGAATGATGCAGACTGTGACCAGGGAGTAGGCAGGTCGGTCTCTGCCCCAGAGCCAGGTCTCACTCACCTGCACTCTTTCTTTCCACAGCTCCTTCAGAAATCCTTGATGCCACAGAGGAGGAGAAGTAAGTCGCTGCCTGACTTGCATTACTTGTTGGCCAGACCCTCTGTGAAATGACCAGTTATAGGGGCACATCCACTGCCCTTGTTCTAATTGCCAGCCATGATTCCCAGTCCATTTTGGACAGGCTGCTCCTGCGTAGCACCCCCTCCTATGCCTGGACAAACACACAACTTACCATCAGCTGCTGCTGCCGCTGAATTGCTGTCCCTTGCTGCCACCTGCATGTGCTCATTGTCCCTGTTCAGGGGGACATCTCACATCTCCTGCTTTCTCCTCCTCAGTGGTGAAACCAGCTTGCACCAGGCTGCAGCCTTACGCCAGCGCACTATCTGCCACTACATCGTGGAGGCTGGGGCCTCGCTCATGAAGACAGACCTGCAGGTGACAGTGGGAACGGTGGCAGTGGGGCTTTCTAGGGTGACCAGAGGGCTGGCAGGGAGCAGAGCAGAGGTGATTTGGTTGAGGTGTTTGCCAGTCAGAGAGGAGCTGACATGGAGTACCTATGCTTGCCCACTAGAGCCCAGCTACAGAGGGGTTAAATTCCTCTTCTCCTAGTGCTTCTCTCCCTGTTGTTTTATTAAATTAGCAGCAAGGGGCTGGAATGTCTCATCCCTGTCTCCCCCTTCCCACCCTCAGGGGTTAGAGCAAGGACATTCTCCCTCCGAGCTGCAGGACTCCAATGCTCTCCCCCACCGGCAGTCATGATGGGGGATCTGGGAGCTCCTGTTGGCGGGTGAAGCCGGCCTGCGGGGAGCAGGAGCAAGCAGTTGCAGCACTTTCTCTCACATGCTGAGTTAATTGAGCTGTGCCTTAGTGTCAGGGAATTGTGCCAGCCCTGGCAGAAGAGATGCAAAAGGGGAGGGAGAGGACTTGGGGCCATATTTTGGTACAGGAGGTTCCCAGGGCTGGCACATGGCAGAGAGGATGTGGTCAGATCTCTCTGGTGGAGGCTTGTAGTGATGGGCTACAGCAGAGGTGATGTAGAACAAGCCAAGAAGGTGCAATCTGTGGGTCTGGGACACCCATTAGGAGCTGGTGGTGGTGAAGCTTGGGGTTCAATTTAGACAATGCACGTTCCTGTTTGCCAGATGCCAGGAGAATGCAGTACAGATAATCTCTGGCTCCCCATCTCTCTTCCTTGGTCCCGTCTAAGACTTAAGCCTTGCACAGTGCCCAGAGTGGGGCTGGCCTAAATGGAGACTCAGCTGGCAGAGGCAAGAGGAGAGGGCAGTTTGGGGTGCATGGCCCCTCTCTGTTCCCTGCCCCATCATTTTCCTGAAGGAGAGGAACAGCCCCCAGCCTGCCAGCACAAAAGGGAGCCTTGCTCAGGCATGCGGCTGCCCCAGGGAATGGGTTTGCACGTGCCTGTGCAAAAGCATGTCGCATGTCGGGTTTGTGGCTGCCTGGGGACCCCGCTGTGCTGCTGCACTGACCTCTCAGGGGCTCAGGGTCACAGCCTGCCTGCACAGGCAGGATCCACCTCATTATAAACCCTAGCAGCAGACCTGTAGCAGGGGTTTGGAGCAGACTGATCCCGCTCTCTGCAGTGGTGAAGGAGGCTGAGCCTTATCAGTTGGAGTGCCTCAGCCAGCCGGGCAGGGAGGCCCTGGCAGCTCTGGTTTCAGGCTGCAGGCAGGCAGTGATGCAGAGGGCCTTCTGCAGGGGAACAGGAAAGAAGCTTAATTCCTCCTCTGTTAAATGAGTGATTGCATTCAGGGGATGTGGGGAGGAGGCCATCAAGGAAAGCCAGCACCACAGCACAGAGTGATCTCCATCCCCTGATGGTGTGGCTGCTGGGGGTTGTGTGCAGGACCACGGGGTATGCCCAGTCTTGGGGTACACATCCCAAGGAGATTTCTTGCTGCATGATACCTCTCTGCAGCCACACATGGATGGGCTTTTGTGCACAGGCACATCCAGGCCCAGTGGAGGACTCTGCACGTCTGACCATTGTTCCTGATGGAGAAATATAGCTGGGGGGTGCTCGGAGGCCCCAGCACACTGCTGCAGCTGCCTGTGCCCTGCTGTGCACCAGGGGATGAGCCAGGCAGGACGGATATCCCTTCCAGGGCTGGTTTTCAATGGCAGCGGCAGAGCGCCAGGTTTCTGTGGCCTTTCTCAGTGGCACAGCAGAGCCTGGCACTCGGAGAGGTGGAGCAAGGAGCAGGGGGAGGGAAGGGGGAGAGGAGACAGAGCTGGGAGTTGTTAACAGATTTGTTTTTTATGGAGTGCAGGAGTTCATTAGTGGACACAATCCAGATGGCTGCAATAAGCTGGTGAAATGTGATCCTCCTTTGGGAGCTGGAGCGTGCTAGCCAGGCTGTGAGAGGGAAGGGGGGTTGGTATGCTTGGGCATTCCCCAGACATACCCCTCATTCCTCACCCTTTCCTGCCTGTCTCCCCAGCACAGGGGAAGAGCCAGTCAGGGGGACTAGCCTTTGTGTCTTCTTGGGTGACTTGTGTTGCCCAGGGTCAGTCATGTCCTAGCCCATGCCTGGAGCTGATGGCCCTTCAGGGGACAGCTCCCAGGCCTGCAGTAGTCATGCTCCTCAGGAGCACACTTTGATCCCATGGTGAGCACATGGACATTTGGCTGCCACCTGACTTGGGGTTTGGCTGCAGGCTCTGCTGGACCCAGCCACACGGGGGAATGGGGATACCCTTGGGTGCCAAAGCAGCCTTTAGGCAGCGTTTGGCGCTCTTGACTTGTCGCCTCCCCTGCACAGGGAGACACCCCGAAGCACCGTGCTGAGAAAGCCAATGACCCCGACTTAGCTGCCTACCTCGAGAACCGACAGCACTACCAGATGATCCAGCGGGAGGACCAGGAGACAGCTGTGTAGTGCTTGGCGTGCCTTAGCCCGAGCCAGCTCATTCAGGATGAGAAGAGTACAATGCCAACTGCAGAGCTGCATCTGGCCCAACCGTCCCCAGATGCTAGCCTGCTCCCTGGAGATGGACGCAGAAGAGCTCTGCCCCAGGCGGGCTGGAACTCTGTTTATGAGGACAATGGATATTTCAGACTTGAAGCCTGATTCTTTGTGTGTGCCCTTCACCTCTCATTCACCACATTCCCTGCCCTAGGTGGGCTCTATCCTCCAGCCATGTTAAAGCAGGCCAGGCTGAAGCCTGCAGTCACCCTTGTTCGTGGGAGTAATTCCAGTGCCCCCTCCACAGGCTCCTACCTATAATCCTTATGGGATATCATTGCTCAGTCCTTCTCTCTGCTGGCAGTGCCCCTCTTTTAGGTGCTTGGCTAGGTTTGTGTCCTGTTCCTCCTCTCCTGTCTGGCACAGCTGTGGGAGGCACAGGCTGCATGGACAGACTGCGGAGGCTGTGAGCCACAGACTGCCCCAAAGAAAGCACCACAACTTACTGGCCCTGCTTTCTCCTCCCTCCTGGGGCTGCACCAGGTCTCTGTGTTGCCCTACCCAGAGCCTTCTGCAGCAGGAGGGAAGTCACTTGTGCATCCAGCCTTTCCTCAGAGCATCTGCGTCTCGTGCAGCTGGAAGTAGAGCAGCAGGTGCTCTCCTGATGGGCCTTGTGTGCTCAGTCAGCAGTCTGACTCAGGGCTGGGATGGCATGGAGGAAGGCTACCAAACCCTCCCACCGTGCTTCTCTCCATGGGGCTGGGTGGAACAGTTTGCACACCCACTCTGCTGAGCATCTCTTTGTGAGCCCGCTGCAGGATGGTGGAGAGCTGCACTCAACTGGTGCAGTAGCAGCAGTGATGTCTGTTATATTTCCCAAATGCTGAGTTAGATTCAGCTGCCCTCCTTGCTTCAGTTTCCCCCTCAATGCTAGACTTTGCACGGGGCTGGACGGGCAGTGCTGGGGTCAGTGCTGCTCTCAGGGATCTCCTCCTGTCCCCCAACCTGGCAACATGCATCCTCTTAGGCTGACTCCTGCTATTCCCCAGACTGGGCACAGGGCTTTGCAGGGAGCTCACCAACCCACGTGGGCAAACCATGAACTCACCCTCTCCAGTTTTAGTAGAAAGAAGGATTTGGATTCCCAGGAACCATCAGGGCTCCTAGCCCTGAGTCATGCCTACCGTGGGATGGAGTTTCACAAATCGCCTGTCATGGGGCATGAGGCACCACAATGCATCTCCCCTGTTGATGCTGTAAGCACTTGATGCCAAGACATCAAGCCAGGCCTTAAGCAAGGCTTTTGCAGAACTGAGTCTCTGAGACCAGGAGGTGCCCACAGAGGAGAAAAGCTGATGGCTCTGAGCCTAGCAGACCTGCTTGGCACTTTTGGGTGGGCAGTGGTTGTGAAGGGGGTTGCTGTTCACATCTTTGCTCTAGGAGAGGATTCTGCTGCTGCCGTGCGTGGTCTGTGCAGTCCCTCGGCACTGACATGCAGCTGTGCCCACTGGGTCATGCTGGATGGCACTGTTTGAATCCCTCCTACTACCAAGAAAAGGGTATAAGGATACTGTAGGGAACCAGAACACCCTTCAGACTTTTTGCCCAGGGGCAGGGTTTCCTTGAAGGATGGGGATGCTGTACTGGGGAGCAGAGGCACAGGGCAGTGCAGGGTGCCCAGGGGCCAGTGTCGGTATTGGCAAATAATAATGAAGTGTACTAATGCATTGACAGCTGGGACACTCCAGAAGTGCCTGGAGTTCTCATCAGCACTGCTGGCAGGCCACTAATAGACAAGGCACTGTCACTTCTCAGAGGTCCACACCACTGCTGCCCTAGACAGGATACCCAACTTGGCCCAGAGGCATTTAAGCCTCAGCTTTTCCCTTTCTCCCTTATAGTTTTTCGTACAGGTAGTTGAGAGACACACTGTCCCCCTCCCTGCCTAGCCCCTCCGTGCACCTGTGAGCTGAGTTGCTGTGCAATTCCAAGCCTGCTTATATTTTGGTGAAGAAGGAGGAGGTGTTGGTTACCCTGCTCCCTGAGGGCAGGGGTTCTGTGCAATACCTGGGTCTGTGTTTCTTAGACACTGTTGTAGGATTGTATTTTTGTAATTATGTGAGGATGCTGGCTCCAGCTGGGCCAGGGCCTGGCATGAGCCTGTATTCCCATTGCTTTTCAACTTTGACTGTTTGATGTTGTTGTTTCTTGCCATTGTAATAAAGAGATTGATGTTTTAGTTCCTGTCTCCTTGCTGCATCTGCAAGATTGCAGCAGGCATCGCACAACAGATGCCCTGCATGGCACAAACAAGGTTGGATCCCAAGGCCTCTGCCCCTGTCCAAACTTGGGGGTACTTTTGGGAGTTCCCTGCTGGCCCACATCCTTGTTCACTTCCTAGCACAGCATCCTTCTGGGACTGTTGCTAGATACAGAGTCTTTGTCCTGAGGGACCTTCTCCTCCATTCTGCATCATACATCAATGCTCAGTATAATGTGGGAAAAGGAGAAAGTGCACTGCCTTCCCAAGTGATCCAGAAGGCCTTGGAAGTGTGAGTCAGCAGCCTGCTATTGCTCCTTGGGGCAAAGGCAGCAGCCCCAGCAGCTGCCATAGCTGTCAGTGGATACTGCAGCAGCATCCAGCCTCCAGTTTCAAAATGTTTGCTGGTGGTGAGCTGTCCCCAGTCACGCTGCTCTGCGGGAGATGAGCCTGCCGGGGGCTCTGCCTATTCATTTCCAGCTCCAGCAGGGAGTCTTGTACTACCGCCTCCAGTGCTGAGCAGTGAGAGCAGGGATTATCTCTGCCACTCTGGTGGAAGGACCGCTCTCTGATTACAAAAGCAGAAGATTAGGGACACTTCTGCTTCCAGCCTCAGACTCATAAGGATGACTGTGGCTGACACACTTCTATCCTGTGGAGTTTTCTTTGAAAAAGGAGGTAATTGCAGTGGCCAATGGCATGCTGGTGATGGAGCCAGTGGGTGATGAGGAGCTATACTCATACCTCAGACTTGTATTTCTTGGGGCAGTTTGGCAGCCTGCCTAGTGCTCCTGCCAGCTCCTCTCTGCCCGGAGAAGCAGCCGCCTTCCCTGCCTGCATTGTCCCTTCCACCCCCACTGTGCCTCTCTTTCATAGTCTTCAAACTTCAGCTCCTGCCCAGAGCTAATAGTAAGGATCGGTAGCAGGTGTAAGGCACACCAAATTGTCCTGGCCTCCCCAGGGACCAGGTGTACATGCAACTGGGAGGAGGGGGCCCGCTCTGCTTCAGTGCCCAGACCCCAGCATGCTGGCAATTGGCCCACATCTCAGCAGGGAGGCTGTCAGTAACCATGGCGATTGGAGTCTTCCAGCCGCCCCAGTGTCAAATATACCGTGGGGAAGAAAAGCAGTCCTGCTATGTGATCACTCTGGTGAGGAGTGTTGGAAGAGGGGCAGTGTACCTTTGGGGCAGAGTCCTGCCCTTCTCTCCAAAGGGTGTCAACATCTCCTCTTTTTCCTTTTCAGTCAGGTGCTGGGGGTTCAGAGGTCTGTCTGCCCTCCTGTGGGATGGAAGCACACCTGGGGGTGTAGGTATGTGTGCAGGCTGGAGAAAGCAATGCAAGCCCAGCCCCAGCTAAGCAGAGTTGGGGTGACAGCAGTAGGCCCTGTTAGTGATTACCTGGCACACACCTCAACAAGGAAAAGTTCATTCCTCTCCCATGCATGGCTGCATCCCTGCACTGACACTGCAGCAACATCCACTACCAGTTCCTCAAGGACCAGGCTTTGACCAGAGATGGAAAATGCAGAGCTGTCATGCCATGAATTAGACTGTGACATTTTAAGAGCTCAAGTTAAAAAGCTCAAGTTAACCAACTGCAGGAAAATGCACCTGGGTTGGTCACACTCCCTCTTTTTTCCTCCTTTCCTCAGTATGAGGCCTCTTTTCTGCAGTCAAGCACTTTTGCTGCTAATTTGAGCTGGGGAAGGAGCCCAAAGGGACCAAGCACAGCCACTGCTGAGTGATGTGCACCAATGCATCTCTGCTCTCTCACACAGCTAGCACTTGTCTCCTGGTCCCCTGGAATGGGTGAAAATCCACACAGGGCTTCACTGTACCTTATGTTGCTGTGCCCTGGGGACTCCAGCGAGATCTTCAGCTCCTGGCCAGAAACAGCTGAAGAGAAGCAGCAGTGCTTGTGCCACACCTAGTTCTTTAGCAGTTCTATAGGCCTTGCTTTGCTCATCACAGTCTCCTGATTCAGACGTGCAAACCTGATGTACACCTAGGTCCTTCTTTTGTACATTGAAGTTTGTCTCAGCAGCTTCCGTCAGCTTGAGTTTAAAGGCCCAGCAATGGGGGGAGGTTACTGGCTTTGCTACCTGCCCAGCTATCAGGATCCATTTCTGCATCCTGGGCTCAAACCTACAGCCTGGCATCTCCAGATCCCTCGCCACACAGAGCAGTACCTATTGCTGTGTGTGCAGCAGGAAGAGGAGATGACATGTTCCCACATTTACCAGCTCTCCTGAAAACCTCTGCAGATGTTTAGGAAACTGCTGGCAGACTGGCAATTAAATGTGGCACTCTCTTGGAAAGTTATTCCTGGTTTCGAAGCAGCTCATAAAAAACAGCCCCGCCCTGCAACTCCACCTGTGGCAGCCTTGCTCTCAGCAGACTTCTTCCAGGATAAGAGGTGGAGAAATGGCTCCATTCCCTACCAGAGCCCCATTTTTCTTGCATGACACTCTTCTTTCTGGCTGCTAACTCTGAAAAGGAATTGGCTTTGCTGCTGCCTTGCTCACCTCCCAAGAAAAGGTGGTGGATGGGGAAAGGAGCAGTCACAGCTGCACAGTCCTTTTCATCCTCCATCAGCAGTCAGATACCACTGCTTGGTCCAAGGGCTGCAGCATGTCTGAGCTGGGGACAGGCAGGTGGGTCACAAGGGACAGAACTGGGGAGACGCTTGGGACAGCATGTAAGTGATGTGCTGCTCTGGGTGCTGGGCAAGTACCCCTTTCCTGGCAACTTCCCACGAGGGGCAGAGCAAGCAGAGAAGTGTGAAAAGGGCAGAGATTATGAAAGGTCTGTCCATTGATGCCAGTGGCCTTGATGGAGGAGGCATCCACGGAGCTGGTAGAGACACAGGGTGGTTCCCTTTACTCCACCGAGGCGCGGGGATGCCGCCGGGGCCAGCTTCCATCGGAACTCAGAGCAGCAGCCCCCAGGGGAGACGCTGCCCGGCTGTTCAGCTGTGCACCCTTGGCCACTCGTTGATGTTGGGGTGCATGGTCAGCTGAACCCGCACAGCTTCCCTGGTACCGCACCGCGGGTACGGGTTGGAGAGCGCAGCAGGAAGATGAGAGGGGACAAGGGACAGGAGCCGTGCCCCGCGGGACCTGACGCTGCCCGGGCCCAGCTCAACCCCGGCCGAGGGGCCCCCGCCCCAGCGGCCGAGGGGCCAGCCTGCCCCCGGGCCGCCCCTCCGCCGCCTGCCTTTGTGCCTGCCGGGGGGCAGAGGAGGAGCTTGCAAAAGTTTTGGGCTAAAAACCCACCTTTTTGCTGCCAGCCGAGCCCGACGTCAGGGGCCGCTGTGCGCCGCGCGGGGCTCCGCACGCGGCCGCCACACAAAGGCAGCAGCTCCGCGCCCTCCGCTCCGCTCCGCAGGTGAGTGCGGCCCCACACACACACAGCTCTCGGGGTCGGGCCCCACCGAGATGGGCGCCCCGGGCGAGGCGAGCGACGACCGCCCATCACCTCCCCAGGGAGGCGGCAGTCATCCAGGCTGAGGGCTCCCCGGAGCGGGAAGTGGCTTTGCCGGGGTGGGGGATAGGCTCCGGCTGGGGAGGACCTGCAGAAAAGGGCAACTGGGGCCGAAGGACCGGGGGCGGTGCCCCCCCCCGGTGCGGGATCGTCTGAGAGGAGGCACGGAAGAGCCTGGAGATGCAGAAGGATGGAGTTCGGTAGGGAGTCAGGGCTCCTGGAAAGCAGGCGGGTTGAGTCAGTGGCCCGGTATCCTTCCCCCCCATTCCTCTGGGGAAGCACCCCACACTGGTTCGGGGAGAACTCAGCTAGTGGAGATCCTCCGATCGGAGCCCGGGGAGCTGCCCCGGAGCGGGGATCGACCGCCGCCCGCCTCTCCGGAGGGCGAGGGAAAGGCTCTACGGGGCTCACGGCACAGCATCTACCCTGAGGAGGGAGCAGAGGGCAGAGGTGCGGAAGGGCGCTGCCTGCTCCCCTCTCTGCCCTCAGCGCAGGGACAGAACCCTTTTCCCTTGGAGCACTTTCTCTTCACTGCGAGGGGAAGGTGAGGCCGCCTGCTGGAGAGCCCCACAGCCCTCGTGCTTCCCTCAGCACCTCTAGGAAAGCCCCCCGGCCGTGCCAACGCCTTGGCTCACGGGCACATGCTCCGTGTCCCCTCTCCAGGCAGCAGGGAACTTCCTACTGTCGCCGTGCTTGTCGCTTCAGGCCACGGGCTTCCCGAGCGCTGGGCTGGTTCCTTGGGTGCCGGGCTGCCTGCCCGGAGGCTGGGAAGCAGCTCAGCCCGCAGAGGGAGGACAGCAGCCCTGCGCCCACCACCGCCAGAGCCAGCTGCAATTTGAGCCGAGCAAAGCCGAGCCGAGAGGTCCCACTCCTGGAAAAGGGCTGTGAGTGGGGGGGGACAGCCCAGCCCCTCTCCGTTCCCGGGAGCGCATGGGGTCAGCATTGAGGGATCAGGAGCTGCGGAGGATGTGTGGGCCGCATTAGGAGAAGTCGGTGGCACTACCTGCCCCGGAATGGTGTCCGGAGAGAGGTCCAAGCTTTCCCATTGCAATAGTGGGTATTTGAGCTCTGCTTCAGCTTCACCAGATGATTTGTCTTTTTAGAGCTTCAGTTTCACCAGGTGATTTAATTTTTCTTTTTAGAGCTAATCTAGATCATAAAAACCCCGAGCAGTAGAGGAGGGGGAGGGGAGAACAGAGACTGATGTTACGTGAGAGCCAGCCCGCATCTGAGGAGGAGAGAAGCCAGGGCCCCGCAGGGACACAGGAGGAGTAGGGCTGTGCGAGCATGCCTGAAGGTGCTGTCAGCCCAGCCAGGAAAAACTCTTGTTTGCCTGGCTGTTTGGAAAACCAGTTGGAAAACTGCACTCCCTTTTCCTTATGAATGGTTTAGGATGAGCCATGACTGAAGGTCCCTGCAAACCTTTGCCTGGGGGAGGGGATGTGCTGGGCTGAGCCTGGGAGCAAATTCAGGGGTCCCTGGGGCTGTAGCTGGTCATCCCCTCAGAGGGTATCCTTCTAGCATCCCTCCATTTATATGGGCAGGGCCCCACTGCGCCAGTGGCAAACAGAGGGAGTCCGTGCCTGGAGATGAGGCAGGGATGAGCACAGCAGCTGGGGCTGTCTGCCCTGGAGAAGACCATGTCAGAAAGGCCTGAGCAGAAGGTTGGTGGGAGGGATGGGAGGTAGGTGCAAGGAGCACAGGGAAATGCTCTGCAGCAAAGGATGGGAGAAGTTAACAGAACACATGAAACCAGGGTGATGGTGTGAATAATGTGGATGTCAAAGGAGCTACCCCGTAAGAGCCGCTGCAGAAAGTGGGACAGGCATGTGTGTAAGTCAGCTCAGCTCCAGCCTTGTTATCTGTAACCAGCCCATCTTGGCTGAGCCCTTGTCCCCTTTGAAGGCAGATGGGTGGGAGCAGAGCTGAGCTGTGCTGTGCTCGGCAGGATGGCTCCCAGCCAGGCTGGGTGAGGGGGAAGGCAGATCTCAGCCCCACAACTGTGCCCTCAGCCAGCCACTCTGTGTAATTCCCTGTGACAGTTCAATGCAGAGCAAAGCTGGCAGCTTGGCGGCGGATGCATGAAAGGTGAATGCACTGGAGCCTGAGTAATGTGGGATGCTGCTCTCTCTGGCATGCTGCCTGGGGAGCCCAGGGCAGGGAGCAAACGCTGACCCCGGGCTCTTCCCTTCTTTGATGTCCCCTGTGGTACATCCTGTCCTCTACAGCCCAATTCTGCAAAGCCCATCACAGAGCCAGGGCAGGTGCCGTGTATTTTCTGGATGGCTGCTGCCACACAGATATGGGTGGCATCTTAAAAGGCTTTGGGGGAACAGAATGGAGTCTCCAGATTTCAAATGCTGGCTCTGCATGCCTGCACTCCTGTTCCCACTGAGAGCAGGATCTGGGACCCCAGTGTGGGCAGCAACATCCCCCAGAGTCTTGTGGTGGCAGCCAGAGAGGAGCCGTCACATGGTCCAAGGCCGCCGGGGCAGGGGGACAGGGCTCGATCCCCAAAACTGAACCATTATGTGTGTGCACCCTTGTCCCCAACCTGCTCCCAGGTGTGTGCACATCTGCTCACCCCCTGCATGCATGGGTGGCATGGGCAGCGGGCTCCATACCTCCAATGAGCTCCCACATTGGTGGATGCTTTTTTTTGGTGTTTAATCCACTGATATAACTTTCAGACCTCTCACGAAAGCAGGTTTGTTTTCCTGGGCTTTTTTCCTTCTCCCTGGCATCCTCTGGAACTGGAGTAAGGTACTATGGGAGCTGTGTTCCCTTGCCCCAAGGCTCTTTGGTATGGGGCAGCAGCCTGCTAGGTCATGGATAAAGGATCCATAGAGAAATATGAGGGTAAGGGCTAGCAACTGTAGGTCCTTCCCCAGATGCTGTGTGGGCTGTGGGGTTCCCATGGAGAGCATTTCAACCACATACAGGGCACTGGGGTGGCAGCAGGGGTGGGAACAATCTCTCAGCACGCAGTTGTTGAGGTACACAATCAACCTTCCTGTTGCAATTAGTGAACATAGTCTACTGGGTGACACCAAGCAGTAGCACACACTCACGCATGTAGGTGAGTGTGTGCTACTCCTGTCTTACACAGGCTGCCCACAGCCCACCATGCCTCTCCTTGACACCACATTGCACCCCAGCCTCCAACCCACCCAACTCTCTCCTTCCTCAACAGGCAGGATGCAGGTTCGGAGTCTCTTCCTCCTCCTGGTGCTGATCCTGGTGGCTGCCACCGCTGAGGCTGGCAAGAACAAGAAAGGTGCGGGGCAGCCTGGGGCAGGGGGGCAGTGGGGCAGAGTGGGGCACGCTCCCCTGTCCCTGCAGAGAGCACCCATTCCACTTTTCCGCACAGAAAAGACAAAGAAGGATGGCTCTAAGTGCGAGGACTGGAGCTGGGGACCCTGTGTTCCGAACAGTAAGGACTGTGGCCTGGGCTACCGCGAGGGAACTTGCAAAGGTGAGAGTAAGAAGCTCAAGTGCAAGATCCCCTGCAACTGGAAGAAGAAATTTGGAGGTGAGTACATGGAGGTGGGGACCACCCTGTGCTGGGTGACCAGGGCTAATGTCCCACCAGGTCCTGGCTAGTTCTGATGCCTCTCCCCTCTCATCCAGCTGACTGCAAGTACAAATTTGAGAACTGGGGAGGCTGCAGTGCTCAGACAGGCTTGAAGACTCGCTCTGGAATCCTGAAGAAAGCCCTGTATAATGCCCAGTGTGAGGAGACTGTCTATGTGACCAAGCCCTGCTCCTCCAAGATCAAGTCAAAGTCCAAAGGTCAGTTCCCGCCACTCGTGTCCCCAGAAGGGTCCTGTGGCAACTCTGGCCAGGGGTTTTTCAGAGATACCTTGGCCTATTTGGGTTGGCTTTGCTGGATGCTCTTTCCTTTGCACTGTGAAGTCCAGCTGCTGGCAGGGTGGGAGGTGCTACTAGGAAAAACCCTGGTCCCCCCACAAACCACTGCCATCTTTGGTGGGATGGGGATTCCCTGCTTTCCTCACTAGGACTGACACAAAAGGTGGTTTGGCATGGCAGGAGGCTGCCTGCAGGGACGCAGCCACTGCGCTGTGCTCAGCCAGCCATGCTGGCTACATTTCTACCACAGCAGTGTCTGGGGGACCGTGAGCTGCCAGCAGATGCACTAACTCTTGTCTCCTGTGCTTCTTGAATGCAGCAAAGAAGGGCAAGGGGAAGGACTAGAGCAGGAAACCAGCATCCTCATCGGCCCCTCAACACAGTGCCTACAGGACTGGATGTCCAGCTGTAGCTGGCGCACACTACAGTCTTCCTCCTCCTCTCCTTACTCCTTCCCATGACCTCCTCTTTCACTGAGATGCCTTGTTTTAATCATTAGTGTTGTAGAGAGCAAACCCACCCACCCTGCAGGATAGGCTGCCTCCTTCCTTGCTGCCCCATGGGCACTACCTGTGCATCCTGCTCACCTCCTCTGGGCTGGTGTTGGGGTTCACTGGGATGTGCTCAGAGAGCTGGGATGGAACACACATTTTTCCACCCTCCAGCACAAATGAGTTGCCTTTAGCACATACTTTTGCAAGCCCAGGAGCCTCCTTGCTCCTCCACCAGGTACCAGTGCCGGAGGGAAGGGCTGGGTGTTGAATGCCTGAGTAACCCCATCACTGAATCTTCTCACTCAAGGACTGCTCTCACCTCAGGGGGTTTATTCCAGCATCCCTTTGGCTGGGGCATGACTTACCTGCAGCAGTTGAGGAAAACACAACCATCACCCTGAGAAGCAACTGTGTCTCCTCTCTGTCACTTGAAACCACGTGTCCATGCTGGGGCTGCAGCCCCTCTGCCTTTGCCATGCCAACACCAGTGCTGGGTGGGAGCTCTCCTTTTGGAATTTGTCTTTTTCTTTTCCAATAAAAATCTTTTTTAAAAAAGTATCAGAATTCCCCTGTTGTCCCCACAAGTTGCTGCTGTGCTGGAAGCCCCAGCAAACCCCAGTTTTGCTGACCCCACTGGCACCAGCAGTGAAGTTACCATGCAGCTGGCCTGGGCGCCACATGCACATGGTCCTGGACAAAGCACCAGACCCCTCACAGCCTCTTTGCAACAACGCTTCTGGTTGCCCCCCCTTACTCTTGGCAGAAGGGATGGGCTGCAGGAAATGTCACCAGTGGGTGACACTGGGAAGCAGGGAAGGAGCCACCTGGGTGATGACTCATTAATTCCTCACACCACGGACATTAGTTTCCTGGTCCAAGGTCTTTATTTGTCTTGGGGTGTGTTGGGCTGCAGTTGTAACCATTTAAAAATACCCAGAAACCCACCAGGCATTTTGGGTACCCCTAAAGGCAGTGATGGAGGGGCTCCCATCTGGGCTGGGGCAGCCTTTCTGCAGGTTGCACCCTGGCATGAGGACAGGAAGGACATATGGACACAGAGTTCGCCAGTGCTAGAGCGGCCCCATCCCATCCCTTGCCTGCACCTGGCTGCAAGGAGAAGGCTTGCACCCGGCTTTGGGAGAAGCTGGGGAGCAGCCCCAGGGCGCTCTGGGCTGCACACAGGGGTGGCTGGGAGGAGGCTGGAGACGCTGGCTGAAGCCCGCATGCTGAGGGCTCTGCCACAACGCCCATGACAGCGTTACATCCATGTACAAAGCTCAGCAACCGGCTCCTTTGGCCTCCCTGGAGGAGCCCCCTGCACTCGGGGCAGGAGGGGGCTGGAGGCTACCGTCATCCTCTCCTGCCTCCAGAGCCATGCATTAGGCCTCCCACACCCACTGCAGGGAGAGCGGGGACCTGCTCGTGGCCCAGATGAGACACGGGGCCCCTTGGCCACATTGCAGACCCTCTTCCCACCCTTCTGAGTCCCCCCTGTCTCTCCCAAGGACAGTTATTTTCACAGTCACTGCTGCCCACTACTCAGGGTCCCCATTCCCCCAGGGCTGTGGAACAAAGTCCTGCACCACACCAGGGCTTTTCTTTCCAGTTTTAGTTTCCATCATTGTCGGAGGAAACTGCGTTTCACACTCCTTACCCAGGAGTGAAATGCTTGGTTTATCTCTCTGTCTTTCCAGCAAATTGCTGTCTGAGGGCAGAAAGGATGTGAAGGGGAGAGCAGAGACCGAGCCCAGGGAAAAATTCTGCCCCAGGACCCTGGGTGAGGATGTCCGATGGCACTCTCAAGGGAAAGAAAGCATCCTGCCACATCTGTTAGGGTCCAATCTTGACTGCTTTCACAGGGGGCCTGCCTGGGCCAGCAGGACTCCCCATTAGCCTGCCTGAGTCAGCCTGGTCCAAGATGTCTAGCAATGTTTGACCCTGGTTTCTTTTCATTTCTTGGGTAATAAACGCTTTATAAGCCAATGGAAAGCATCCAGCATTAGCCCATCTGCATGCAGACAAGATCTGATGCCATGGAGATGGTCAGCTGGGGAAAAAGGTACATCCAGTCTTAGGAGAAACACTGATGCCATTTGCCCAATCTGAAGAGCATGGAGCTGGGAAGGGCTCCTGGTGACCACATTTCCTCTTGCCTCTGGCTTTCCCGCTGGCTCCCTGAGCTAGTCCCCAGGCCCAGAGTGACTGGAAGGACCTGTAGCTCAGAAATGCCTTGGATTTTTGTCAGCGTTGGATGAAGGGCATCCTCTGCAATCACTGCACAGTCTGCACTGTTGTGAGTGGTGAGCAGAAGAACCCCTGCTGGCAAAGGAGGCAAAGGGAAGGGTTTCCATAAGGATACTGAAGTGGTCCCTGAGTACCAGTTTATCTGGCTGTGCCAATGTTCCTGTACTGGCACATGAGAAGGTGCTTGAAGGTTTTCTTGAAAGTGGCATTGCAGAGGGCATAGCAGGCTGGGTTGATGGTGCTGTTGACATAGCAGAGCCAGTAGCCGATGGACCACACTGTTTCGGGCACGCAGGTCTCACAGAAGGTGTTAATGAGGACCATCACATTGTAGGGTGTCCACGTGAGTATGAAGGCCAGCAGGATGGCAAATATGGTGCGGGTGACTTTCTTCTCCCGGGCAGCCATCTGGCGCTTCTTCCGTACCTGGCTCCTGGCGATGCTGGCAAACTTCCTGGCAACATTGACTGGGCGACTGTTGGCCAGGGAGTTGTGGTTAGAGGCACCTGACTTAGCTGGGACGATCTCAATGGCGGTGACACATTCAGACCCAGTCTGCTTGGTGACAATCTTAATCTTGGACCACTTGGAAGTTGGGTTCACGCGGGGGTTGGCTGGACTCTGTCCTTGCCCTGCTGGCAAGACTTCTGCTGTGGGCTTGTCTTTTGTGGTCTGGGTCATGCTGACGGTGCTGGACTCATTGGATGTCTCCTTCTCCTCCTGGTGGCCAGTGGCCTCTGTCTGTGCAGATGGCTGGTCATCCACTTTCCCATTCCTCACCTCCTCCTTCACCTCCACAGCCCTCTTGGGAGAATTATTGTTGTTCTGTTTCACCATGGGGCCCTTGAGGAATCTGAGGGACTTGGTTTTCCTCTCTTTCCTGCTCTCAGGCTTGTGCCTCCTTACCCTGCTTCTGCTGGCCAGGGAGATATGGATGTACAGCACCGTCATGATGACCACGGGCAGGTAAAAAGCAGCAATGGCTGTGCCAAATGTCACCGCTGGGTTGGAGAGGAACTGGATGTAACATTCCCTCTCAGGGACTGTCCTCTTGCCCACAATGAACTGCCAGAACAAGATGGCAGGGGCCCAGAGAATGAAGGACAATATCCACGCGGCCGCGATCATTAGCCCTGCCATCTTGGTGGTCCTCCTGGCCGGGTACGTCAGGGGCTTGGTGACACAGAAGTACCGGTCAAAGCTGATGATGAGCAGGTTCATGACAGAGGCATTGCTCACCACATAGTCCAGAGCCAGCCACAGGTCGCACACCACGGCCCCCAGTGGCCAGTAGCCTTTGATGATGTAGACCGTGTAGAGGTTCATGGAGAAGACCCCGATGATGAGGTCTGCACAGGCCAGGCTGAAGAGGAAATAGTTGTTGACAGTCTGGAGTTGACGGTTCACCTTGATGGAGAGCATCACCAGGATGTTCCCCACCACGGTGACAAGGCTGAGTGAGCCAGTGACAGTGGCAATGAAAACCAGCTCCACTGTCTTGTAGTTGGTGGGAGGCTGCACAGCCACCTCGGAGTGGTTGCCCAGGGTGAAGTTGTCATAGGTCAGGTTGGCCATCTTTGCCTGCCAGGGCTGAGCAGAGAGGTTGTGCATGGGATCTGCAAGGAGAGCGAGGACAGAAAGGGAGAATATCAGACCTGCCCGCCTGTCCTGGCAGCATTTCCTCAGTTTCCCAGGCCAGCACGGCTGTTGACTAGTGCTCAAAAATCTGCTGGCATTCCTGGACTTCTCTCTGCCACTCCAGGAGTCCATTGGAGGCATTTTTTGTGTCCCTATTTATCAGTAGAGGAGGCAAATTAGTTGCAGGGAGAAAAGCAAGAATGGAACTAGGACAGTCCCAACCTCGTGTGGCCCAGAGAGGCACAAAGGGGAGCCAAAGGGCTGGGGAAAGAGGACTGCAGAGCCAGGGGGGATGCACATACAGCACTCACTGCCAGAACAGCACAGCATGGAGCCAGTGCCCTGCCCCAGGGACAAGAGCAGGGTTAGGGTATACCCCAGGCATGTTCCACTGACCTCCCCAAAGCACTCCCCAAGAGGGCCCTAACCCGCAAAACCCGTGCCATGGTCTGCTCAGCTCACCTGTGTCTCTCACAGCAAATAGCTCCTTCTGGAAGATGAAATCTGGGAGAAGGAAAACAGCAAGTTACACCACAGCTTGTGTGCATCCCACAACATCTTACTGAGGGCACCAGCCTGTCCAACAGAGGTGACCCTGACCAAAGGGTGACACTGCTGAGATACAGATGCTGAAAAGCCAAGAAAGGCTGAAGGTGGGGGCTTTGGTGTGGCGCAGTGCACAGCGCAGCAGGCTCAGGAAAGGGAGGGAGCTGCACAAGTGCCACCAGTGCAGCTGGTGGCTGGGATGTGATGCTGGGAAGTGATGACCCCTTCCCTCAGTCCCACATCACAGTGCAGCTGCAGCCACCCAGGCCAGATGTACAGTGTGGAGTCAGACACCTCAGCATGATACACGGAATTATTTATGAAAAGTGATGAGAATTATGGATGGAATTACTGCCTTCATGCAAACCAAGATGCCTGTAGTTAATCACCCAAGGTAAGAGTGGAATGGACCTTAAAAAAAAAATCAATAGACAAGAAGTGCTGTATTGAGCTGAAAGGGAATTTCCTGGAAAGCAAAGAAAAAGCAAAGGCACTGAGGGAGTTGGGCAGGACAGAAGAGCTTTCCATTGAACCTTCCTCTCCCACACCATCCAGACCTCCAAAACATGCTAGGCCTTCACCAGCCTCACCCTGGCTTCTGGGGGCATTCCAACCCTGCCAGACCATCGAGGGCAGCCCCTCCAGCAGCTGCTCCTGGTGCCTGGGGCAGGGGCTCAGCCCCATGGGCACTGCTGCCAGGAAACCAGCAGGAGCCAGCGAGTGTCCCCGCAGTGGGAGTGCTCAGCACAGTGTGTCTCTGGCTTGGGAGGTGGCTCCAAATGCCCAGGACTCCTGAAGCTGATTTTGCTGAATGTATAAATGTGCCTTTAACACGCACCTCTTCTGAATAGGGCCTGGCAGGCTTTGAGATCAGTTTGTCTGTTTTAAGTATTTGAAAAGAAATGTCCTTGTCTTTCATTTGTGGTGAGGGTAGGAGATGTCTGCCATCAGCAAATAGCCAAGTTTTTAATATAAGCACTTTCTAAAGAGATACAGGTGTAATTAAATGGAAATGTGTCTGCCGAGATGCTAAAGCCAGGATCTGATGTAGCCATTTAGGCAGCTTCTGCATTAGCAAGGATACAGCTGCGATAGTGATGGAGCTCCTCTTACAGGTGCAAGGAAAATAAGTGGCTGAGGGACAAAGAAATACCTCTCTACCATTATCCTCTAAGCATGTCTGTGAAGACAAAAGGCTTTTAAAAGAAAGCAATGCCCTTTGGTAGATGCTACATGCCAGATACAGATGGGGTGAGGAAGCCTGTCAGCACTGCCCAGGCTTGGAGCTTTGCACCCACCTCCAAGCACAAGGGATGCTTCAAGGGAGAGGGAAAGAGGTTTCTGCTGCCATCTTTCCTGGGCACCCTGCCAGGGATGTGAGAAGAGGTGATAAGTGTATAAAATGGCTTAGAAATATATAATCATGGCAGTTTGGGGGTTGGTTTCAGTACAATAGAAATGAGTTTTAATTTCTTCACTTTGGTGAGATGGGGAGATTTAACTGTCATTCTTGTAACAGCTAATCAAACTGATCAGACAAGCTAGCAATCATGCAGACATCTACCCCAGCTCTTCCAAGAAGAATTTGAAAGTCTTGAAAAGAAACCTTTCCATCGTCTCCGCTAAAATGTGGGTTTCAGTTTTCTCACTTTTGTTCCTGAACTGGCATCCTCTTCTAAGCGTGTCTAATTAATTATCAGCCTTGACAGAGGCTTGTGTTCTCAGTTACCCAGAGTAAGAAAAGTCCATCTCAAGCCCAAACTGTTCTGTACGTGTCCCAAGACGGGAGGAAAGGCTGCGGCAGCCCCTCGGGCGAGCCTTTGGATGCCCCCCAGAGGTCATGCTGCGAACTGGTGTGAGGAGGCAGAGGCAGCTGCCGCCGCGGGGGCTGGGCTTAAACACTGAGCCCTAAACTCGATAAGCCTTCACCTAACAGCAAAAAATAAAGCAATCCCCTGTTTGAGGGAGGCCTTCACAAAGCTGAGAGAACACTTCAGAAGGGCTCCTAGGGCTGACACCCTTACCTGTGACACCAGCTGGCTTTGCAAATTCCCTCAGACTTTTGGCAGTGATTTACAGCTGGTTTTGTCCTCTCCATCGAAGCCGTTGGGAGACTCCAACTCTTTACTGATAGCATCCTCCCGTCCAAGAGTTTCTGTGGCTGCTGCAGTGATCACCAATTGTGTCATCAAGGGAAATACCTTTCCCTTCCCACACAGCCACAGATCTAAGCAGAGAAAATTGTAATTTGGGTGGGGTCCAACTACTGCGGGCAGTGGGCACAGCAGGGTCTCCACTGCTGCCGGCAATCATGGGTGTGACCACTCTTGTGTGAGGATTCAACCCCAGAGCAAGAGCAAAGCCAGTGCTCTGTCACAGGGTGACACCTGAGACCACAGCAGAAGACTCCTGCTGTTTCCTTGCTGCACCTCATGTGCCTTACCAGCCAGCCTTCCCAGCCTGTCGGCTCCTAGAAACTGCCTCACAGCCTCTCGCCAGGTAGGAGAGCAGAAAGCCCTGTCATGGACTGCTGGTGACCACCCTGTGACCCAGAATCTGCAGCAGCTGCAGGCTGGTGTTCCGTCGGCTGCATTCGTGACTGAGCACCTGCTGAGCACTCGGCTCACGTGGGATGGAGGGTTTAGTTCCCTCCCGCCCTTGCTGCTCCTGATGTGGAAGGAGCTGGCTGCCCTCTGCACGGGACAGCAAAGGCAATGGGAGAGGTCGGCATTTACACACACCCGTGTGATGGATGAGCTCCTGGAGCAAGCAGCCCTCCTGCCCCAGTGTTCCCCACATCTTCTCTCTGTACTGCACAGCCGCCCTCTGCTCCACAGCCCCTGCCCCACATGGCATCACCAGCCATCTCCTTTCCTGTTGTGACACTGCCCCCATCCCAGCATCATCCCCAGGGCTGGGGATACCCAGGGAGCAGGTGCAAGGCAGGGCAAAGCCGTGCCTGGTCCACATGCGGTTGAAGTGACATTCTGCCTCTGGGAGCGAGCAGAGCTCTGCAAGGAACCCCATCATAAAGCAAGCCCCACGCTTGCACACCAGCCTGGGGAGGGAGATGTTCACAGGGGAGGGAGAGGAATCACAGAAATCCATGCTGCAGTGGACACCTGTGAGCGTGAGCTGCTCCCAGGGGAAATGGGCTTTAGCCCTGCAAGGGTCTGGAGCAACAGCACAACTGAAAGTGACCTCGAGCCCAGGGACAGGATGGAGGGGCTGTGGCTGTCAGCTCCTGGCTGAATGGATCCTGTGGGGGTCTGGGAGCTGCCTGTCTCCAGGAGGGAGGAAAGGTGGCCCCCTGCACCACAGGCACATTCCAGGAGAAGGTACACATCACTTCCTGCTCTGTCTGGGTGCCAAGGCTGGGCCTGGGCACATCACCTTTGGTGTGACATTTGGAAAGAGTCAAGGCAACCCTACTGCCAGCCCCCTGCCTGTCTTGGCCTTCCTAAAAGTGCAGAGAGGGTAAAAGTCTTAATGGGATTAATCCTGTGAGGTCAGACTGCTGATGTGATGTGGGGCTGGGCAGTTTGTGCAGCCACCACCACAAGGAGGAGAGGAGAGAGAAAAAACAGGGAACAGAAGACGCTAGACATTTATGGCTCACGCTCACAAAGGGAAGGTATACTTGGGGTAGGATGGCAGTTTGTGGTGCTAATTGCATTATCTAATAGCTGTTAATTAGTTCCTGAATCATGGCACTACTTTACAACTAGTGAAGGGTTGTTCTGGTTGACAGATTCACACCCCTCAGAGTGTGAAAACAGAATTCCTAGATGCTGGGAACAGGCACCTTAGAAATACAACATATGAGAGAAGACGGAGGGCCAGCCCTGTGTCTGGCAGGGGAGGGTTGGTGTTGGTCTGCTTCCGTGCCTCTGTGTTGGAATGATGAAGGCAATAAACAACCAGAAAAACAGAAAGGAGATGAGGGGCCAGCAGGATCTGTTGCCATTAAAATGGCAAGCCCTTCAAGCTCCAGCTGGTGGCTGCACTTTCACCCCTCTGGTCAATGGATCCCTGAAGTCCTTATCCTGCTCCAGAGGAGATCTGAGCCATTGTGGAACAGGAATTGTTTCTTGTCAGTAACATATGGTGTTCTGAGCATTTGATTTTTCCATTGAATAATTTATTCTTCTTTCTTCCTCTGCTATTCAACTGGTCCTCATGAGGCAAAGCAATTTCCTCCACCCCACAAGTCAAGAACCTGTGATAGCTTTTCCTGGAGCCGCTGGAGAAGCAGTAAGCTCAGTAGCACAGGAGCAGCCAGCTTGCAGGGGGAGGTGAGGGGGCCAGGGAACCCCCCCCCCCGTGCCTGACGTGTGTTTGCGCATCAGGTTTGTAAAATTTGCTGTGTCCAGGGCCAGAAGGGAGTGTTGAGGTGGGTAAGCCCACCACCCTCCCCAGGCAAGCCAGGAGCCTCCCTGCTTTCACTGTGGTTAATGCTGGCTGTCAGAGCAAAGCCGAGGTGCCGCACCCAGGCTGCCTCGCACCCGGCTGTGGGGAGCACTCGCCGGCCGGAGCCGTGGATGTTGAGCTGCCCCTGCAGGTGGAGCCCAGCCCAGCGGGCTCACCAGCATCCCACAGCAGCCACAGCTGCTGCACCCCCTGCCCGAACGTGCCTGTACTTGCCTGTATCCCTAATGTGCCCTTGGCAGGTTGTAAGGGACTACATGCCATTTATCCACAGCATCACCAGACAAGAAGCGAGCCAGTGAGAAAGTGTTTTTTAAAAAGTAATTGAAAGGTCACTCCTATAAATAACCTACCAGCACACTGGTCGCTCTGACAATTAATTAACCTCCTGTCACCCAATTATCAGGCCAAATAAATGACCTATCAGTGGAACACCACTAGCAAGCGTGCGTGGCAAATGCCACACAAGCCGAAGTCCAGCCTTACCCTGCTGTGCCCAGCCTGCAGCTCCCAGGCACCGGCGGCTCCGCAGCAGCTCCCACGGCTCCTGCACTGGCTCCGGTGGGAACATCCCGGCGGGAGAAGGCTCACCACGGCGGCATGGCACAGTGGGACCAGGGGGACACAGTGCCCTCTGCCTTGGCCGCCCCAGGGCTGCAGCTCCCTGCTGGTGGCTGAGCTAGGAAGGTGCTGGGCTTCCAGCTGAGCCTGGGCTGGAGCCACACTTCTCCCCTCCCATCCGCTGCATTAATGCTCTCTGCCTCAGAGAGATGCTCATGTTCTTTTATATGCCTGGCTGAAGCTTTAACAGAACCCAGCTGTTTCAAGGCAGCACAGCAGAAATAACCCTGCTGCAGCTACAGGTCCCACTGCTGAGAAGGGCTCTGGGACCAGCCAGCAGAGAGGAAGGAGGGGGGAGAGAGAGAGGATTGCAGCAACAAGTGACTGCCTGGATTAGCTGGGCTCTTCCCAGGGAGAGGTTAGTGCTGGGGACCAGATGCCTGTGGGAGAGAGAATGGTGGAGGAGGGACTGAGAGCCAGAGGGGCAAGTGCTGCAACACCTAAGAGCTGTTTGCTTCGCAAAGCAGCTCCCCCTGCCCCAGGGACAGGCCTTGCCTGGGGACAAGGGGGAAGGACTTGGCTCTTTTTGGGAGGCCAGCTGTAGGGAAGCCCCCTCACCCTGCCATGGCCCCACACAGCCACAGGTGCCCCTGCCAGGTCCCTACCACCCACATGGGGAATCTGCCCCCCAGGCCAGGGATCTGCCCCCCCCCAGGTGCCTGGGCTGGGGCTGAATAAGGCAGGGGCTGGCCCTCATGCAGAGACCTGCAGCACCCTTCACTCACCCTCTGTGTCCCCAGGGTCCCATGAACTGCAGGGGGGATGCAGCTCGGGCAGCCAGAGATGCAGTGCTGCTCTGGCAGGGGAACATGTTTGTAACTCATCCCAGAGCTGAGGCACCACAGGGAGCAAACAGTAAGGTGCTCATCTGAAATTCTAAAGACTTGGCAATGGAAACAAGACCCCCTTGCCCCATGGAGCAGCTCCACAGGGCTTTGAGAGGACAAATGAGCCAGCTAAGCAATGGATGAGATAAAAGAGCTGAGCCAAGGGCAAAAAATCAGGCAGGAGCAAGAACCCTGCTGGATGGATGCATATGTGAGAGCCCTACTCCTGGGGGCAGATAGCAGATGGGAATCTTTGGGGTGCTAATGAAAAAGGAAACTGAAAATATGAGACCCCATTAGGCCACAAGACCTGCCAGAGGATTTGGAGGTGATGTCTGAGCGAAGGGATAGAGTGAGGAAGAGGAGCTGTGGCAGAAGATGGGCAGGAGAGCCCAGGGCATGGACAGGCAGAATGGAAAATGTGGGGGTCAGAGTGCCAGGGGAGGAGAGCAGGTAGGAAATCCCTACAACAGAAAAGGGGAGAGATGGAGAGGAAGGAGGTGGGAATAGTCTTGGTCTGCCAGGGAGGCATTACTTGTCTCCTCTAGAGAAAAGTCCTAAGAAAATCTTCTTAGAAGGAGGGACCTCACACAGAGACATTGCCTACAAACCTCTCCCTGTTGCCTTCTCTGAGGCTCCCACCAGCTCCTTGCTGGGCAGAGTGGGAGCCGTGCTGGAGCTGGAAACCTCTCTGGGCTGCAGCTCTCTGGCTCAGGCAGCCCAGCTCTGCCTGGAGTCATCTCTCTCACTGCAGGATGGTGATCCCCAGCCTGTTGTGCTGGTGCTGAATAAGGCAGGGGCTGGCCCCCATGCTGGCCCCCTCACTCTTTTTGCCCCCCAGGTCCCCATGAGCCGTAGGGTGGGGATGCAGCTCAGACAGTCAGAGATGCAGTGCTGCTCACCCCACAGCACAGGGCAGGGGTTTTAGCCACCTCATGGACAGGGACTGCACATAGTAGCAGAGGGTTTAATGAGTTGAGCATCACTTATGGGCCTTGGTGAGTTATCTGAGCTCTGCAAAAAGCATAGAGACCACCATGCTAGACACTGCTCCTAAGTGCTGCAGAAAGGCAGGCCCAAGGCCAGGCAATTCATGCCTGCCAGGCAAAGGCAGATGCCAGAAGGGTTGCATTGCTCTCCACTCCTCTCTGTACACATGCATGCACTTTTTTGGCCTTATCTGGGACTGCACATGATGTAACTGTCAGCAGAGGAGGGATCCAAACTACCCCAGTGACACTAGAGATGGCGAGATGCCGGGTACTCTCCCATCTCAGTCATGCCAAGATCCCTCAAGGACCTTCATCCCTCCTCAGCAGAGGCAGCCTGCCACGCTGCCTGGGACTTGGGAGCTGGCATTGACACTGGCAGGGTCTGCAGGTGAGGGGTCAGTGAAGCACGGTGCCATGGAGGCCTCTGGAGAGCTGTTCTGTGACCCGGAGCGGATGCAGGGCCCGGGACATCGTGTTTGCAGACTCATGTTTTCAGACCTCAGTGTTGCACAACTGCAGCTGAGTTTCCCACAGACAAATGAATCTAATTCTGCTTAAAGAGGCTGAAGACATTAACCCCTTAACTGGCCAATGCAAACCAAATTTACCAGGAGCCTTAACCCTGCTGATGACATTTCACCTCCAGACATCGCTAGCTGAGACTCCTGGTGCCAGACCCACTGCCTCCTCTGCCAAGCTGCAAGGTGCTATACAATATGCTAGATTTAAAAGCAGTTGTGGTACCAGAGGGGCTGCTTCTCTGCCTGGCTTTCTTGGCTGGAGGAGCACAGCCACCCTCAATATCTCAGTAACATGCCAATAGCTCAGGCCAAGCCTGCTGAGCTCAAGGAGCTCCACGGTTTGCACCGAGTTCTGCCTTTAAAGGACAAAATTCCTAGCTGCTCCCCCTCCTTCACCAACTGACCTGGGATGTAACTCCTCTTCAAGGCTCTTGAAGACAAATGAACAGCCCTGTGCTTCCCCATGTCCCTCTCCAGCTCTCTCTGAGTCACTGGAACAGGTGGGAGAGGTTCCTCTGCAGCCGCACACCTCAACCTGCCTAACGCTGGGGTGGGAGGTGGGAAGGGAAGAGGGCACTCGGGCACCTCTGCCACTGCCTCGGGCACCGACTGGGAACAGGGCACAGTTGCACAGGACAGAAAGCATCATGGGGACAGGGTCACAGCAATGCTCTGATTTGCAGGACCTCCAGCAGCAGTTTTGGAGACCGTCAGAGGGACAAAGCACTGTGCCTACAGTCATTGCATTTGCAGGCTTGGACAGGCTGGTGATTTTCTCTGCAAACTTGCATCATACAAGGTATAAACAGAGCCTTTGTTGGAGTTCCTCCTCCATGTGGTGCAGCCTCAGGGCTGAAGGCATCTCTGGAGGGTCCTGAGAGCAGCCCCGGGGCGAAGGTGTGAGCAGCTGTGCGCGGCACGCGAGGGCTGGGGAGCATCTCCAGCAGAGCCTCCCTTGCTGTGCTCACACTGCCAGGGGACTCAGGGTCTGAAGACAGGTCAAATGATGTTACCCTGGCACAAAGTCCCAAGAGGACCAGTGCATCGATCTACAGGGAAGGTGGGACGGCTGCCAACAGACAGACTGAGGACACCCAGATGTCTCTAGCTGGGGGAACAGGGACTGGTTGTGTGTCTCCTGCTAAAACTCTGTGTCTAAGCATCAAGGGGAGGATCTGTATATGAGACACCTTGCCCTATGTTCATGCACCAGAAAAATATTGGAATCATGGATCAGCCTGACCAGGGAACACTTGCCTCAGATTAGTCCAGGAATTGCCTAACTCCTTGAAGCTTTAGCAAATGAATTTGTTTGAATACAGGGAAAGAGTCCACTTTGGTATGTTCAAGGGTCTGGATGCAGCAAGACTGTATGCCTAGAGACTTAAAAGGATGTCATGGTGGGTTGTGCTCCTGGGGACAGTCAAGGTTGGCACACTCCTCCACTTGGCTCTGAGTTAGACAGCAGCCAGACATTCAGGCCCTCACCTCCTGGTCTGCCAGGGCCCTGGGCAGGAGAGCACATGAGTCTTCCTAAAAGCTGTTGTCTGCTTTCTGACTGGTCACAAACACCTCAGAAGAAGGATGTATTTGGCATGGTTCCAATCACCAGCTTGAAGAGGCTTCAACAGTGCCTGGGTGTGGAGCCTCACTGCAACCACTGGTACCTGGCACATTCATGGTGGGTGCTGGTGCTTGGGCAGGCTAAAGAGCAGTCAGCAGGGGATGCTGGGATGGGAATGAAGAGAGAAGAGGAAGTACATGGGAATGATCTGGTCCAAAACTTCCATTTCCTCGCTGTGTCAGGTCCTGCACTCTCATATCTCCCCAAAACACGTAACATGCAGTTTTAGAGCCAGCCCAGAATGGATGCTGAAATGCAAAGCAAATCTCCTCCCTTGGCTTAGTGGAGAGCAATAAGGGCATAGACCCATGTCAGGCTGAGGAGCAACTGGCTCGAGGACAATGCCCGTTTCTCCAGAAGATGCCCATCAAAGTCCTGACTTAGCATGCCAAGGAGAAGGGGTCAGCTTGTGCACAAGAAACAGTTGCTGTGTGTCTGTCCATGTGGAAAGAGGAGCTGCGTTTGTGCAGAAAGCAGCAGCCCCTTGCAAACAGCCTCCATTTCCCTCTCCTCTCACAACTGATCTCCCTGCTGCCTTTGCAGAGCTGCATCTGCCCCCTCGGCTGGGCGCTCACCAAACCTCTTCACCTCTGTGGATGCTGCCGGTCAGGGCTCAGCAGGGCAGGCAGAGAAAGCATCAACAACACAAAGGTGTGCTAGGGACTGCTCTGCATCAGCTGCTCCTCCTGGTCTCACTATTTTTATTCCCCGTTTTTGTCTTTTTTTTCTTTTTCTTTTTTTTTTTTCCTCCTGGGGAGATATTTGTCATTTTAATTTTAAAGAACAAAACAACAAAATCCCAACTATGACAAAACCTCCCATCAATGGGGTGGGGACACAGCTTATGGGGACAGTTAAAAGAGAAAAACCATGCTCCTTCTGCAAACTCAGAGTAATTGGATCACAGCATTAATTAATCATTTCAGTTCATTTCTCTTTTATGAAAGAAAACAGACTGACCTCCTGAGATGGGTATGCCCCTCGTG